GACAATGTGTTTCGATCATCTCAGTATCAAGTTCAAGACGTCCAATGTATTTCATTCTCTCATCTGGAGCCGCGATCTTTTGTCAACGAGAGTGATTGTGATGAACGACCACAAAAATTCCATTCCCATGGATACGTATTGCGGACATTCTTCTCCCTTCTCTCAAATGTCGACAACAACTATCCATGATTCGTTACCGGAACAAGTCAAGATTTCACCACGGTTGAAACGTTCCGGGAGGTTGCCAATACGTAGTCAAGGCCAAGCTTAGGCTAACAATAAAGATGGCCTCCGATTCAGCACCGGTCCTGAACTAACAGGTACCGTCGACGAACCAATGTCAACTAATGTCACAAGGAACTCAAGGTTTGTGGTTCCTGATAGGGCTGACCAAAGGAACTTTTCAATAGTCCTGCCTATACCGTGACTGACCGAAGGACGAACAGGATGGCATTATCTCCTATCGACTCACTGACCTAAGCAACCACATAAACATATCTTTTGATAAAACACTCACTGCGTGTCCTGTCTCTGATGGCCATATCCCTTCAATCTCGTGACCCTGACGCCTTTGATCGTCGTTCTTGACAACTACATAGTTCCCACTGCCGGAGAAGCTCCGCGCAGTTCCATATTGGCTGAGTTATGGACCTCCAGCCTCATCAAGACTTGGTTGCTCGTTTTGTGAAATATCATACATGGCTGATGCAACTGGATCAAGCCTCATTGCACATCGCTCAGAAATGATGTCAGGGTAGGAGCCATTCAGCCATTTCGATATATATGTTCACTCTCCCCGAGTTCAATGTCAGAAAGAGTTGTTCTTGAGTGGCAACTTCATAACTTTCCGATCAAAGAGCTTAATTAATACAAGTGCCTAACTTATAGCATCACCTGTAACGCAATATGTGATCTTGTGATATCGTCAAGATGTTCTTTGCAAGTGAGTGAGATGTTCCAGGCTTTGCTTTGAAGAAATGTCTAATATCGTCATTCTGTACACCCCTGTATTTGTTTGATCGACGACCGTTTAGATCGACACGAGGCGTGTGTACTCACCAATTCAAGACGTCCATCCTCATCTGGACTCACTGCTGCGCCAACGGCAAGGACTGGTTCCCTTGAGACATTGATGATCTCCCACTAGGTGCGACATCTGTAAAGTCTAACTTCGAATGCTGTCATACGAAACAACGATCTGAGATTCAGAACAAGGCTTGATCAAAGAGGATCTACAGATCTAATCCGCATAGGTATTTGCTAGTTGCCTTCTTGGGATGTTGGGCCTCGACAACTGAGTACAATAATGTAATGTCAATGTCTCGTGCCTGATGGTCATATCGAATGAATCTAGTGCTTGAGACATGCAGAAATCGACCTGTCAGGTCTTGGCTGGAGTTCATACCAGACATCTTCGTTGAACATTAGGAAGATCAACCCCGGCGGAACGGAACAAGTTGTAGATGCGATAGTTGGGAGGGAAGAGACAACAGCACCAACAAGCAACGCTGAAACAGACCACTCTGTCCCTCCGCAAGTCGGAGTCCTGCAGCAAGAATCCACCATGCGGGTATATGAAGGAATAAAAAGCGATACATGGCACGAGGCCACTAGTAGAACTACCTCCCTAGGTAGGCATTCCACTTGTTCCAGGCCCATATTGACAAGCTGAAGGGATAGCAACGGCATTATGCGTTCTGCATTACCACCAACAACCTTCGGGACCGACGCAAGGCTGTGGAGATTCACGTACATGACGATCCTGGAGGAAGCCGACACACCCACTGTGTGGGGGCGTGCAAAGCTGAGAGGTGCATCATGAATTGCTTTTCCCCAGGTCCACGGTCACTTCTGGGCCTCCCTTGTGAACATCAGCCGGACCACCCGAGACTCAGGACTCAGCTTCTAGTTATCGAATATATCTCGGAACTCCTAGAGCAGTGGAATTGACATGGTGGCTTATCACAACAGAGGCACCGAGCGGAGAGGAGAGGTAAGAGAGGAGAGCAATGGACGTGGAGCCAGGGCGGTCAAGTGATCGTCACAGACTAAACTGTAGAAGTCAGTGAATAGTGTTTAAGAAACATGCATGGTAGACTATAGCCCAGTGTCCGTTCACCATGCGACAATGGCGTTTCAAGTTCAATCCAGATAACAACGACGCTCCAAAGAGGGCGCTGAGATATCCAAAGATCGTCAAAGGGAACGCGCCGAGCCGAACTGAGCTGGATATTGAGTTCTCACTACTCAATTGAGATATACAGTGTTGAACAAGTCTTCGTTATTTTCGTCATGGTTTTCAAGGGATGTATGAATCACACGGATATACCAATTGGCAATCAACTTCATGGGGTTGGTGTGATTCGCTGGTGATGTGCAATATCGAGGCTGCAGATGTCGGGCTGTCGGTACGCTGCTTGGTTGGTCCATCGGCTATAGGTGCACTAGACCGAGGTACCAGAATTCGTCTTCTTTGCAGGTTATTTCCTGCGGGTGATGTTGCAGTGTTTTACATTAAGGTAGGGCACATACAGAATCTGCATATGTCATGTATTGGCGATCTAAAGCACTGATCTGCAACGCGATGTTGATATTGGACAATCGCCAAGAGCAACGGATCTTTACTAGCATTAGTTAGCAAAAATAGTCCCTCGCGACCTCCGGTCTCCAAGGGAAGAATGTAATTGACTGATGTGCGATAGGCCGACAAATACTATAGACTAGACACATGTGAAAACATCTCTGACATTGCAATCCTGGAAGAACTGACCTGCCCGCGCCCTTTCGAGGGCTGTAGTTGTCAAACACATGCCATTTTCCGCGTGGGCGCAGGGATAAACATCGTGGGACCTACTTGTTTGGGCATTTGTTGTGCCCTGACCATGACAAACTCCAGGGGGTTTTCGTTTTGTCTGTGTCGTGGGCTCATCTTAACGTCCGCAATGCAAGGCAATATCCGGTGATTTCTTTTGACAAGTGACCATCGGATCCTGTTCCAGGTAAGTAAGGCTGGTCAGTGTCTAAGTACTTTTTGTGTGATTGCCCAGGGAAGAGAGGGTTGTGATTAGAAGAGCATTGACTGGGGGAGTGTTGTTGCCTCTGAGTATACGTATCGCTTCCTTGCCAGATAGGTTTCAGCAAAAAAGAAAGTCCAGAAACACAAAAAAGTAAACATGACAACCAAGTCTTCGTCACAGGATCACTCACAAGGGATCTCGTTGGAGTATTGATTTGACCAGGGGGAGGCGACTCGACCCACCTCTATTGGGGGGTCATAGTTTCTTCGTCGAAGGCTTCTGGAACACCTGTCACAAGCCGGGCCCCCTGGTTTGGCTCCGTCCGTTCTCTTGGCCTTTGCTCCGGGTTCATTTTGAGTGAGTTCTTTTGTGAGCGGAGCCCCAAATGGCGGCCTAAAGCTCCAAGGGTACATACTATTATGTACTACTCTGTTGGTCTCGTAGAGTCTGTAAAACCCAACCTGACTTTCTCAAAATACTACGTACCTTAGGCTAAATGGTGTCGTGTCGTATCCGCTCTCGGTAACGGATGGAATATCCACTGCTCCGGAAGCGAGAGGACAAATCAGAGCAAGTCAATTAATGTAATATGTTCTGTGTTGAGTTCGTGCTCTCTTGCTTCGAGCAAACGTGCACGCGACATCCAGGGAGACAATGTGGAACAGACTGAAGAAACAACGGCACATTGTCTCAAGTGTGCCATTCCCCTCACGTACAGAGCATGCAATTTCAGCGGCATTTGTGTGTGATTTTTCTCATAGTGGAGATTATCATCCCAACCTCCTTCTTGGTGGTGCTGTCAAAGCAAACCCTCTGTCAACACAATCCCTCAGGATTAGAGTTCCCCGCGTGAACGGCTCTGTTGTCTTTCTTCAGTTAATCAAGCCACACGGACGGAGCAATGAAACACTGCAACATAGCAAAACCGTCTGTCCGTGTCTGTGCGAACCCATCCTTCTCGTGTTGTTGCAAAAGATACTTGTCATAATGACCGTGATCAACTGCCGCCCAGACCCTATTTGGGTTAGAGGCCGTTATTCGATAGGCTCTCTGGGCTCTGCATTTCGTCGCTGAAGATTGCGATGTTACAGTACCATTAATGGCTTCAGTGTTAGTCCTCCTCACCTTTCGAGTTGAGTGCTACCTTTGCCTGTTTGCCCGCTCAAGCTGCTCCGGATCAGATGCAGTCATGTCAAACTGGGTCCTTGAGAAACCGTCCCCAGTCAGACCAAGAGTCCGAGAACAACTCTTTTCTCCGACAAAACATCAAAGATCCCTGACCTTGTTCCTTTAACTGACGCCGGCGCACGCGATGGTGGAGTCTTTTATCGGATCGGTTCTCCATAAGTGCCTCAAAATCGGGACTCTCCTCATGAGTTGATCCTCTAGACTTTCTCTAGAAGCTGCCCCGATGTAGGCTCGGCTTTTGCTCCTCAACGCGTTCCCGTTTCTTTTCTATCGTGTCGTACTCTGAGTGATTGTTAGAGAACAAGCAGGGTTTCCGCTAGCCGCGAGAAGGATCATGTTGGACGACTTCGGAGTCTCTCATCGGGATGGCTTACATATCTAGCCTTGGCGTAATTGATAAAACATGCCTGGCATCTGCTTCATTGGCCATTCTCACATTCTGGTCTTGTTTAAGTCAGGACTAGTCGAGCGGAACAGGTTCCACTAGCCACGGTACATGGAGAATTTCGTCCAGGGACACTTTGTTGAAGGATTAAGAAGGGAAGTTGACGGACAAGTGATACCGACAGGGCTAATAAAAAAGGTTATTCTCGTCGTAAAGGTGCAATCCCTGTGACGAGTGCTGAAGCAAAGGACCGCGAACCCATCGACCAACGGATCCGTTGTCCAACTGGGAAGACCCTTATTACGTTGTTTTGCGTTGGCGTGTTGTGGCTGTTGCTCTTGATAATCGTTAACCGCAATTCAGTGGGTCATGAGACAGCAAAAAGCAAAGAGATAGAGCTGGGGATAACCATGTCGATATCTTGGAAGCAATGGCCATCACCATCACGATCTTTTGCTATTGAGGTAATTGTTCACTTGAAATTTGTCTTGCGGTGAAAATTATTAAAGCGGTTTCTCTACTTAGACTGTAGATTCGTCGTCATAGAAGAGTAAGTCCCATCTGCGATGGTTGGACACTAGGAAGATTAGCCTAGCGTATCCTATGATTTAGTTGTGGTTTTGGACAAATTGCTGTGATTCATCCATCCATCTGTTGACTCGAGCAGGAGGTAGGTAAACTTGTTTGGGTTGCCAATATTAGACACGACACTCGAAACTGACTTAATAGTCTGCAATATATGACGATACTCGTAGTCCCAAACGTATCATCTTCGCACAGGACGCATAGCACTCTGACGCTCGCACGTTTATTAGCACCAGGGGGGCCAAGTTTGATTGTTGCTAGTTTGGTGTTTAAAGACGACGTGCCGGTGCCGCGCTGAGCCTTGCTTGGTACCCTAGCCTGACTAACTGCAGCCAAGTTCAGTAAATAACCACTAATAAAAATTAGTAGAAAGGACCAAAAAAGAAAAAGGAAGCCGAAGAAGCACAGGTGGTGGTAGGTACTCATCAACTGCATTGCACTGGAGTAAAAAAAGAGCCCACTCACACACACTGTTGTCAATGCTTGGCTATTCCACCTGTGCCTGTTGCTGTACCCACATCATGGAAGCAATGGATCCCATTTTCTTTTCTCCCCCATGTTCTCTTGTCTCGTCCTATTGGATCCCATTCATTGAAATATCCATCCCATGCCTTCCTCAAACGGTTTCTCTGGTTCGTTCGCGAGGGGCCTTGTCTTAAAAAACGCCCACCCCCACAGCAAAGCCACGAGCTTCAAGTTGACATCCATCTATCCATTGATTGATTCCAGAGGGAAGAAACGGCTCAACTCTGCTCAATTCAACTCTACGCACTGGATGTTGATGAACTAGACAAGCTCAACTCACCACCAACTCTACTCCTCAGCTGTAGTCCCCAATTACAGGCATCGTCATCCCCTTCAACCTACCTAGACCTTGGTCTAAACCTTGTTCGTTTTTTTGGTCGTTTCCGTCGACTCCCCTCCAATTGCCGTCCTGTTCTACCACTACCATCATCTCCGTCTCGTCCTCATTCTCGATACGATATTTTGGCCTCCCGTTCTTTCCCCGATACTGCTTGCACTACATTGCTGCCGCGCCTTTCCGCCTTCCTCTCACCAATCGTTACTAATCGCCCCTCTCGCGACTGAACTCTACATATCTTACCCTCGCAACTCAAGCTCTGTCTCGTCTCATATAACTAGTTATCCATCGGCTACCTGTCCAGATACGTTACTCGACGGACCAACGAGCTCGCTTTAACTTTCTTTGTTGGACAATATTGCCCGGAGCAATTGCACTAGCAGCCGTACAGTACCTTGCCCTGACCTGACGGGGTTTGAGCAGCCAAGAAGAGCTAGAAGAGCAAACATCCTCCAGCTTTCCAATAAAGATAGTCTCTGGCGTCAACATTCGACCATATCAATTGAAACGAATTCTTCAACAAGCTACTCGTCTACTGTAGCCCTACTGCACTCCGCAGCTGTAACCGACCTGCATTGCACTTCGCTGCACCCACCATATTGCACAACAGCACTTACCTGCCTACGCCCTCGACGATTCGGCCCCTGCTCACCGTGCACGTTTCGCTTCCGACGACTCTACCGTATTGTTATTCTTTTGCTGCCGCATCGCTCCGAAACAGCTTCAGCTTAAAGTCAAGCTCCCATCTCCCCGACCCCCTTCGCCGTCCCTTGTGCAGTGGTTTCGCTGCCTATAAGGGAAACACCCTCCTGGCCTCGCAGCCTCGATTCAGCAGTACTCTTGTTCGTTCTTCTGCCACGATTCGATTCCGAGACGATACGTCATGACATACATTGTAAGTGTACAACACAAACTTCTACCATCTCAGTCAAATCTCCATGTCTTGTCTTGCTTTGTCTCGCCTGCTTTCTGTACAACCACATGCCAATTCCTGCCACGTCCGACGTCGCACCCTCCATACTCCGCGCTGCTTCCTCCGCCCTCCACGTTCCTGTTCAACCGACGCCCTGGTTAACGAGGGCATCACACGCCATGCATTCACTTCACATGGTCGACATATTGTCTCAGAACATCCCTGTCAACCATAATTGCTTTCCTCCTTCAGCCTTTGTCTCTTTGAGCATTGGTATCGATTTGCTTGCTATTGGCATTGTCCGCCCTGTTGGGTCCAGACATTTCTGGTACCTTTTCCAAGATCTGGATATTACCAACCATGACCCCATACACACACCCATTTTCTGTCATATGTCAACCCTTTGATCCCATCCCATGGCAACTATGTCTTGTCTCTCATCGACGTTGCTTCTTCACGTCGCTCTGAACCTTCCTTACCTTGCTTTTATCCTCCTTGGCTTTATCCTCACATCCTTTCCCTTTCCACACCCTCGCTTCCTGGCTGCTTTCCGTTGACGGCCCGTCTGCCGTACCTCCTAATGGCCCCCGAACCGCCCGCTATCTTTCTGACATGCGCTTTCACTTTCACTTTCACACACCCTAATCTACCTTGCCTACCTGCCCTTTCATCTCGTCTTGTCCCATCCCACAGCCCACGCACCCAGACTTGTCTGTACACACCCTTGCCTGGGCACGAACAATACACAGGCGCATACAGGCTGCGCATACATCCACACCGCTTCACCGCTCGATTATGACTGCCCTGCCCTCGATCTGGCGCTGGCAATATCTTGGGCAACCATGATGCTTCGCTCTGGAATCCCAACTCACCGAGTGCCACATCACTTCCATCCCTCAGCCCCATGACCCCATCAACGGCCCGTTGCCGATAGGAAAGAGGAGAGGGTAACCAAAACAAGCTTCATCAAGACACCGAGATATGCCACATTTGCTTTGTTCTATAATACCATGTCTCCCATGGCTGCCCCCTTGCAACCATGCTACTCTGATGTCTATTTGTCCATTCATGCTCATGTATCCCTGTCCTACAACGTCATGGGCTCTGAGATGATATACAGTTTAATATCCGTCTCTTTGTTGCTATGATCAATTATTATTTTGCATCTTGTGTTTATCTTATTCTTGATAGCCTTTTCCTCTTGCGCCCGCTACCTTGTTCAAATGCGCAATACACAACCACTAATGCATTCTTTCCAGCTATGTCTTGCTCATTACTGCGACCTCCATGGCCCGACCCCTTTGATGGTCACTGAGGGCCTACCAGCATCATGCACCGTATGCTTTGAAGACGGCACAGAGCATGCCGATGGCCGATCGCGAACCAGCCCGCATGCTTCCTCGACTGCTCTCAACGAAGCCTTGAAGAACCTTGACCTCGCCCGGAGCACGTCGGTGCCAGCTTCGGAGCAAGATGCTCAGGCGCAACGCGCAAAGCTACTGCGAAACTCCAGCTCAAATACTGGCGGAAACGCCAGTGCAATCGATACACCTCCCGAAAGTCCTCGACCAGCTCCTCATCCCCGTCGCGATTCGAGTTTTCGAAGAACTTACGATGAGACGGTCACTAAGAAGCAAGGGCCTTGCGATAATTGCGCAATGACTTTGCCGAGACAGCAGGCGGGAACGAATAGTCCTCAACTGGCGAACAACGCCCGTGGACCAACATTGCGCACGCGTGCGCCGGCAGAACGGGTTTTTGGTGCTTCAGGACAGGCGTCGCCTCCTAATTCGCAAACCTCGAGCGATACAGATGGAGAGCGAGACGAGGACCCTCGGGCTCCTCGTCATCGAGTGACACCCTCAGTCAGCTCACGCAACACTTCGCGATCAAGCAAAAGTGGCGGTACAGGCAATTCGACCGCGGCCGAAAGGACACCCTTCCACCTCCATTATGTCGACTACACATCTACCCACGCCCCGGTCCTACCCGACTCTTTCTCCCTTATTCGTGCTTCTTGCTTGCGCACTCTATCCTTCGAAACCTTGCCTCGGGCTCCTTCCACAGCAAACCCTACCTCGCCCGTCATGACTACTTCCCCGGCCTTTGTTACGACACAGAGCGCCGGCTCGGCTGTCACAGGCGGCCCCATCTTTTTTGGCGACGCCAACGCTGGTTACACGACGGCTTACATCTTCCGTATTCCTGATGTACACGCACGTGGTCATAAGCGAGTATATGCTTTCTTGGCGTTAAGTACTCACCGAGAGCGCTTGGCTATGAAGACATTTGCCGTGGTTTCGACAGCGTTCCGTGACTTCGCTACTTGGATCCAGCAACTGGCTGAGGCTGAGGCCGAGCGAGCGGCCGAGAACTCTCCTATTGGCAGTAGCATCTATGGGGGTGGCTATGCACCTCCACAACCGCCTGTCGAATCCTCTGGAGGCACAGATCGCAATGGCAGCAGCTTTCTGACAGGTGGTAGCGGGTTCACCCGACGCATGGGCGGCGGACCTGGTGCCTCGGCTCCTAAAGCCCGCGGCCTCGCAGAGATTGTTGGACAGCCTGATATCTTTATCGAGCTACACCGACGTTTCGTTCACCTGCTTTTTGAAGTCGGTGTTACTTTAAGCTCGTAATGAGCCTTTTATGCCTATTTGGCATGCTCTATACGTTTTTCTGCCTAGGCATATCCGCAAGTCATTGATTGCGTTGAGTTAATGTTCACTCCACCAACCTGCCTTACTGGGATGACTTGGGTTGCTGCAGATGCACCCAGCCTTACCGATGCTATTCTACCTGCCCACATCAATAATCTTGAGTCGGTCAACGCCCGGCTCCTCTTTTTCTGGCACGATGATTCTTACACGAGTATGACTACATACACAAGCTTATACCTGAGAGCCATAATAGTCAATGGTTAATAACTGAACGAAGCAACGATCCTAATCGATAGCTGCAGTCTTTTGGGATCCCTAGGTTCCCGCCACACACTCTTTCCCTTTTACCAATCCTTGAGGTTTCTTGGCAGCGCTGCCTTCGCCTTCCGCCAGACCGGAAGATATACCCTGGTAGTCGATGCTGCCAAAAACCTCATGTAACTGTATTACTTTTTCGCCTTTGGAAGGGCTCCATGGCGTTTCTCACCTGGCATCTTCTTGGCCGGGTATCTGATTACCCTTTACGTTTTCAAGCGTGTTGATTGTTTGTTCGGTGTTACTACTATGGTGTACAGAGATCCCGTCAGGATGAGGAACTCACAAGGAACAAGTGGATTAAAATAGACTGGTAGCGTTCAAGGAAAATAAAAACGAAAAGATGGTAAGGATTGACGGAGTCAAGGGAAAAATACGTGTATTTTATTGTTGGTTCTTTATATGTACTTGTCCGGCTTCTCTGCGGAGATGGAAATGGTTTTATGTTCATAGACTTCTCCTTTTAAGCGCAATATTAGACATGGAATGCCGGGATGGCATGGAACGAAATGAAACGAAATGAAAAGCACTTCTTTTTACCTGTTTATGTGTCACAGTCAGCGGTTGTCTTGCATGTGAAGTGTTCCAAAATGATGAAGGAATAAACAAGGGAAGATGTTGCTACACTTTCATTTGGGTTGGAAGAAACATGATTCCAATCAACCGCCAGTTGCGACTTGGTTTAAGTACACTTACAATCTGACAATTTTCTCAGTTATCCTACGTAGTGATGAAGCATGGTCTCGAGATGCAAGATAAGTTTATATGCACATCGCAGTTGAAATCAAATCACGAGTTCTTGGGGCAGAAATATTGTTATCGCTGGTGCCAAATAGGCACGATGATTAATCCTACTAGATCTAACTTCTCAACCTTCAAGCTGCCCCCGCTGGTATGGTCTTTTCCCGTTCCAAATATCCCCTTAGCCCAAAAATTGGAGTATGTAATACAGTGTAATTGACATATGAGAGCTTGCAAAGCGGAAATACCGACCAAGTTAATTTATTTGTAGAAGTCGAACTTGTTCTCTTCGCCCGTACCCTTGACCTGGCTTGAGTAGGCGTCCTCGAGATCGGTCTGGATGATGTTGTATCGGTTCTTACGTACGGCACGGAGACCTGCCTCCTGCATAATAGCAGCGATGACAGCACCTGACAGAGGATCATTTCTGACAATCAACGAGTCGAGATCAACTTCGGGAGCCAGACTCATCTTGCTGGCAATGGTGGAGAAAATGAGACGTCGCTCACGACGGTCTCGCAGCGAGGGAAATTCGATCTTTCGGTCGAGACGTCCGGGTCGGAGGAGGGCAGGATCCAGAGTATCGGCTCGGTTGGTGGCCATGATGACCTTGACATTAGCAGTCTGGTCGAAACCATCCATCTGATTGAGCAGCTCAAGCAAAATACGCTGAACTTCTCTATCGGCACCGGTTTGAGCATCGAATCGCTTGGTGGCGATGGCGTCAATCTCGTCGATGAAGATGATGGCGGGTGAGTTTTCGCGAGCCATACGAAAAACGTCTCGGACCATTCGGGGCCCTTCACCCAAGTATTTCTGGACGAATTCAGAACCAACAACTCGGATGAAGTTGGCGGTGGTTGAGTTGGCGACGGCCTTGACCAGCATAGTCTTGCCGGTACCAGGAGGACCGTACAAAAGAACACCGCGAGGAGGGTCGATACCGATCTGCTTATAAAGATCGAAGTGCGTCAAGGGCAATTCAACAGCTTCACGGATCTCCTGCTTCTGCATATCCAGACCACCGACATCGGCGTATGTCACATCCGGCTTCTCGTCTGCGCCAAGCATGGCAATGGATGAATCGGCCTCGGGAGGGAGGATATCGACGAGGGCGTTGGAATGTCGGTGGAGAGCAACCGAGGAGGAAGCCTTGAGCTTCTCGCGGTCGAGGGTGGAAAGAATTCGGACGACATAGTTGGATCCAGTGCTAGACTGAACAATACCATTACTTTGGAAAACACTGGTTAGCTAGAGTTGATGGACTACTGCGGAGAGACATACTTTTGGTCAATGGCCTCCATAAACTGGCCGATCACTAGTGGGACACTTTGAATTCGCTTGATCTCTTCTTGAGCTCGCACTAGCTCACGCTTGAGACTCCTGCACGCAATTAGTACGCCGCGATTGAGCAGGAGCTTTTCCCGATAAATTACCTTTGCTCATCCTTGATGTACTCTTCTTGCAGCTGAATATACCTGTACCGAAGCTATCAGTTCCCCGCCACTTCGCGATGTTTAGGACCGGAATATCGTACTCTAGTTGTCTCTGGAGCTTCTTCAGGTTCGCATAATCATCTCCTCCATCGGTCGACACACCCTCGAAGTTGTCAATGGTGGGAATGGCTGAGTGCGCGGCCCTTTTGTGAGGCGCCACTTGGGTTGCTGGGTTTTCGACAGCGACGTCACCCATCTTTGCGCTTTTGTTATTGTTAGGGGCTGTGGATAAGACTCGTAGAATATCGGTATAATCTGATATGAGCGTAGGATTTCGTAAGCGATTGCCTTTGGGGAGTGCACAACTTGATTGTTGTTTTGATGGTTGAAGGAGTGATGAGTTGCTTCTAGATGATGCCAGGCGCCAGCAACGACGACGACGACACTGGTAGCTAAGGTAGGCTAGCGCGATATTGCCCTTAGTCAGCTTGATGGTTATAGCTGCACGTGACTTCACTACGTCAAACAGTAGCAGAACAATGAGGCCAGTGAGTGCCCACCCAAGAGCACCCTTGATTGGTCCACGATATGACCTTCCAGGGATAACAAGCTTGCAGTAGCTGCAAGGCTCCAGTTGCTGGAGTGAACCAGATTGGCTCATTAATGGGGGGATCTGCTGCCTTCGCAAGGACGTGGGGACCCTGAGGGGACTGCCTCTCAGGTGTTAGTGTAGGCTGGTGCGGTACATGAGAGATACAGTGGGCATTGTGTCGCTGTACTTTGACACTTGACCCTTCTGAGGCTCTTGAAGCTGGGGAAATGCCTTAGTGGCTGAGCTCGAATCAGTCTAACGTTGATAGATATATGGAGGGTATTGCGGTGAGGTATCCGTAGTCAGATGCTGTTCGTGAGATGGAACCGATAAGACAGCCCCGCGATGATTATGCAGACGACATGGACGACACGTAGGGTCCTACAGGATAGAAGATGCTAAATCACATAGTATTAACTTGAAACTCACGATAAAGTGTCTGGTGTTTTGTCATGTTCTTTGTCTACACTGTGGGCATGTATTTCCATGCACAGTTTCAACTAAGACCAAGTACCTTGTTGTACTGTGGCTTATCTGGGTCGGATCAGGTCGCTCATTCACGGGATGATGCGGCAGTGATTCACTGGTCGGCGGCCGAGGAGTCAGTTCAGTCACACTGGACTGTATGAAACCACATACCAACGTTCTTCTACCTGACTTGTTGAACCTTGAACAAACTCAACTTCTTTTTCCCCCCTACTCACTTCCCCCCTTGTGCATTTGTCTTCCCATAAACTCGATCTTCTGCCTCTCTTAACGTCCTTTATACTTTCCACGCCCAACTTCTCTGTTGCGTCATTCTACCCCTCGACACAGTCATCTGCTCTTCTCATCGCCCGCCGTCCAAGACTTTACCACCGACGCCCGTCACACGCCAATACCGCCAATACCAGCCAGTACCCCTCGTTTCATCTTGGGAGCTCTAGCAAACCAACTCAACATCAGTCACAATAATGTCGTCTTCTATTGCCATTCCCGCTGGCCCCTCAGCCACCCGCTCATTCCACAAGGGCACCGGCTCTTCAACCAATAGCCCGTTTGGTACCTCACCCTCATCGTCCCCGCCGTCAGCCGGGAAGGTCAAGGCCCTTCATAACCGCCGCCCAAGTCTTCTGAGTATGTTGAAGCCTGATTTCCTGCACGACATGACCTTGTTCTGCAAGGCGACTGCCTTATCATGACCTTTCCTTTATACTAATTCGACCTTGCTGTAGGTTCTTCCCTCTCTAAGCAAGAATGCACTGTCATTAACATCGGCGACCCTGAGGGTACTCCTCGACTGGTAAGTTTCGGAACTCAAACACTCCAACATTCTGATCTGACTGACTTCTATAGATCTCTTACCTTTCTTCGAGCCAAGGCTTTGCCTGGAACCCTGGTATGTTGAGACGAGCGTGACTCACTGTCTAAAGCACTAACACATGGCAGAAATCTTCCTTCCGTCTTATATCGACTGCGACTATGTTCCCCTCGAGAACCGCCGCGATCCTGTGCACGAGATCATTCTAAGTGACGACGAGTCAAAGAACATGCTTCCGCATTAAATCGCCCTGCATTGCACCGTATACTCGGACCAGGCTACGATAGACATTTCCCTTCTCACGAGATTCCCGATTGCACATTGACTTTCACTATTCGACTATACTTTTCTCACGGCGTTAAGATTCCCACGGTTCCTCACTTTTCTTCACACCAGGCGACGAGACGACCACCACACGCTTGTTTCAGCCTGTGCAACGCATGGGTATTGTTTGATGGAGTAATTTGGGACAGGGTCCCCGGTCATTCGACTTGACAGCCTCACTTTCGGGGTTTGGCTTTGGCTTTGACGGAGTATCACAAGACATGGCAAAGCATTCATCACCTTCGCACCCGGCACATACGGGGGATCGGTCTTTTGGAATTGGATGGGACAAGACAAGACAAGGCCTGGATTCGCTGGCACTGGGGTTTATTTCATTTCAGGGGGGTTTTTATGCAAAATTTGGTTTTTTTTGTTGGCACAGATTTTATTGCTGTTGTATTTGACTTTCTGGCGGATGATGGCGTTTAAGGATGAATGAGTGTTTGTTGTTAATTGCCTCTCTCAATTCATATTATCACTTGACTTCCCTGGACTGCACGTCAAATGACACCCGAGATGGTGATCTTCTACCGCTGGCACCAATCACCAACGACCCAGATGAGCCGGTCTCCTCTTCATTCGATCACTTGCCGGACCGGAGCTAGCAAAATGGGGCGACGGGGCCGATCGGGAACCTTGATGTCAACCATGGCCAAAAAACAATTCCGCTTTAGGTCTATAATCTATCACGACAAACTGACGTCTTGCAGTAATGACACATTCCATATACTTGGGCAATCTCAGTTAAAAGACAACGTTCTCCTCAGACGACAACCGCAACGTTTCATCGGCCGACTAATCAACAGTGTGGCATATGGCATTCGGACCGGCTAGTGCTCTATTGCTAAGTGATACCGCCACGATTCAAAAGAGCATTTGCATCAGAGATGGAGGCCCGAATGAAACCGAAGACTCTGATCTCCTATCGTTTCTACAGTGTATCTCGGCCGCGCCATCGTATCTCCCGGTTGTTAATTGTCAGGATTCAAGGATAATCCTCAATATATAAATTCAATTTCCAGTGGCATCTAGTACATACGACCATAGCTCGTAGAGAACTCGGGATCCCGTCCGCTCTCCCATAGATAAACTGCGAAGCGCTGGATTAGTAGTTGGGTCGGTGACGACCAGCGAATCCCCGGTGTTGTATGTCTTCTCTTTTTGTATTTTTTGGCTGCTTATTTAGGTATGTTGGGGGACGAGTTGTCGAGTACCTTATTATCCTAGCCATGAGGTACATTGTTCTGGAAAACACTTTTGTGATCAATCAAGATACGGGTGACTCGCTTGAAGACGACTGTGTTGATCTAGACTGAGTGTTATGTCCAGTCATCCTCTATGAAAGCTTATATGCTATTTAGCTTATTATTCTGCTCTTCCAAGTCAGCAAAACCCAACTCTTCAGGCCAAAGAAAACTACTGTAATCCTACAATCCATCGTCGACTTCTTTCTGGTCTTGCATAAGACTCAACTGAACCCAGCTCGGACACTTGGTCATGTCCCAAGCGTCAACCTTCATCTCATAAACCAGAAGGTTGTCTTTAGCCGTAGGCTTCCGATTCAAAGTAGCCGAGAAGACAGCCCCGGGTGACCGGACGGATCTCTTCACAGACCGATCCGCATGAGCCAGAAAGGACTTTTTGTACTGCGCACATGCACGGAGAAGGGCACTTTTGCGAGCCTCGTCCATCTTGTTACTAGTTTGTGAGTCAGGTAGCTCGCGGATAGAACACGAAGCGTTGTCACTCGATATCGTGAAATCGATCCTGAAAAGTGAAGATTGCGAACCTTGTGTGCAGCAAACCCACAAGACTCTAAATAAAGAGTCGTGCATTGACGTGTCTCGCTTCATCCACTCGTCGTCGGGATACGCCAGGACGACACGAAGAGAATACTTCTCAGTTGATTGCATCTTCAATAATAGTTTTACTCTTTTGGATAAGAAAAGAGACGTCGGTGAGTACCCACTATTGCTATCTGCAAAATAGCCACTTGGATGGATGAACAGCTCGGTCGACTCAAAGCGGCTCAGGAGTGATTTTGGCACGCCGACGAGGCATGTTGACTCTGCCCTGCAGTGAACCTGGGCCAGCGTCTCCTGATTCTGGTCAACAAACACGCATACGAGAAGATCTTGGACCTCGTAAAAGAGCCATGCAAGAGACGGAGCTGGCAGGGAGTGGTTCGTGGGCGTCATGATGGGAAGGCTGACACGCAGACCGCGACTTGTGAGTTCGGGAGGGTTAGGTGCTGTTCTCATGGCCTTGATACTGTCAAAGCTCCGAAACATGCGCTCGTAGTCTTTCTGTTGAAGGGCCTGGTATATTGGCGCCTCGTTTCCAGGAGCCTCTCTGGAAGGTTCACCAGACATATGGCTCACCGAGTTTTGTGGCCTTTGTCCTCGCAATGGGATACTCGTCCTCGTCGTAGCAGATTTGGAAAACTGCGCAGGGGACCAAGCCAGGAAGCCAGTGGCGCGAACATAATGGCTGACCGGACCATTGTCTTGCTGTAACGTCCACGCAAAGATGCTATAGTCTTCTTCCTGTTTGAGGATCTGCTCCTGGAGTCGAAGAAATGACTTTGGTCCCTCTCCATAGAGCAAAGGCATGTTGACGTTGAACAGGCCCAGAAGGCAGTAGGCCAAATCTTCTTCTCTGGTTGTGGTTCTAGCCGATGCCCATGACATTCGCTCGGCGACGTTATAGGTAGACGGATTCGCTCCGCGCAAAACTGAGATGGGGATTCCCGTGACACTTCCTATACCTGAAGCGAGGCTCCTCTTTGTGCCCATGACATTCCATTCCTTGGAACAGAGCTCAACAGTTTGCGGCGCAATCAGCTCTTGCAGTGTCCATCCTCTGGTGAACCACCTGCTTTTGTAAAACTCGACAACTGGGAAGGCCAACGTGAGGCTATTATCGGTGACATCCTGTAAGTAGGCGTAGCACACAGTCGCCCTCTGGTACCAGGCGAACATGGAGTTGATGGCTTCGGTAAGCTCAGCGCTGCTAGACTTGTCGATACAACACGTATCTATCCAGACCCAATCGAAGCCATCTTGAGCTGCTTTCCTACAGCAACCGGTGAGTTTGGCATAGCCTTGTTTTGAGGCGGCTGCCGAAGTGCCAATGTCGCTGAATAGGACTTCTTGTTCTCCCCATGTGTGACTGAGAATTGCATATGGAGGGATTCGACCAATGAATTCTTGTAGGGAGAGAGTTGAGACATTTAACAATCGCATGCTGAATGATGTTAGAAGGAAGTGGAGATGAGCGGTGTATTGGTTGCTTGCGCGTCAAACAGTCAACATAACATTTCACGATAAACGACACTTTATTGTAGAACACAGCAAAGAATTCAAATAACCAAGTCCAGATGAACTTTGTAGTATTAAGATTTATGCACCTCTATCGTGAGATCTATGTGCAAAATAGAAATGAATTATATACCCAACGCTTCCTTCCAATCGTAGTCCATCCATCGTATCATGTGTGAATTAATCATTAAAAATGTCCCAACGCTTTTTATGTCAACTTATATCACATCCAAAAATAGATATCCGTGACAAGCATGTGGTAGAATAGCTTAGAAGAAAGCAATGGCGCCAATGAAGGCCAGGAGACCAGCAGGGGCGATGCGGCCGGCAGCAGCAGTGACGACGGCAGGGCTGGTACCCTCAGGAGGAGAGTAGTCGCCGGTAGGGTTGACGGGGACGGGGACGGGGCCGGTGGTCTGAGGAGCCTCGGGGTGGCCGGGCTGGGGGTACTCAGGCTTTCCGGGAGCGGGAGCAGTGGGGTGAGGAGCGGGAACCTCAGGCTTGCCGGGGTGTCCGGGCTTGCCAGGGGTGGGCTGAGGGTAGTGCTCAGTCTGAGGCTTGGTGACTGTGCAAGGGCAGTCGGTGATGGTGAGGGTGGTGGGCTCAGTAACGGTGTAGGTCTTGTTGCCGTGAGTAAGAGTGGTAGGCTCAGGGCAGTAGGTGGTGATGGCAGTGAGAACCTCAGTTGTGTAGACAGGAGGAGGGACGGGGATGATAGGCTTTGTGGGCTTGAGAGGGTGGCTGATGGTGCAGGGGCAGTCGGTGATGGTGAGGGTGGTCTCCTTGGTGACGGTGTAAGTCTTATCACCGTAGGTGAGAGTGGTGGGAGCCGGGCAGTAGGTGGTGATGGCGGTCACGACCTCGGTGGTGTACTGAGTACCGTTACCGTAGGCGGCGTAGTGAGGAGAGGCATTGGCAGCTCCGATGAGGAGGCCAGCAGCAGCAGCAGCCTTGAAGAAAGACATTTTGATGAATGTTTTTTTTTTGAGGGGGGTTTGTTTTGGAGTTGATCTGACTTTTAACGAGTGAAGTGCAGAGTAGAGCAGAAGCGAGAGTGATAACGACTGTAGCGAGTGTAGTTGATGAGGAGGAGAAAGAAGAGGAAAACAAGAGAGGGAAGAGGATGTATTTATCTCGGAAAGACTCAGGTTTCTGACAGACAGATCGAGTCAAGCTGAACCGAACTGAACTGACCTGGGGTGACTGATAGACATTCCAATCCAACGGAGAAGGGGAAAACTAGTTTAGACTGGTCTAACCCAAGAACTTGCATGGCATTTCAAGGAAAAGCTAGACAGGACGGGCTAAACGAGGCAATTTTCCCTCTTTCTGCGCCGTAAAATGCGTCTTTGATCCAATCATGACATGATTGAAAGTTGTTTCTTGTACCTGCACTAGAATCGTTGGGCTGAGGTGGGTTTGTTTAATCCTGGTCTCAAAATACGAGGTTCAAGGACTGACCAGGGGTGCCAGGGTTTGTGTCTAGTAGTGTGATCGGATCTTGGAGTGGCGGGTAAAAGGGCCTCATTTGATAAGAGAAAAAGGTCTGGGGTAGTAAAGAAGCAGTGAGACGTTGGTTAATTGGAGAGACGAAAGAGAGTTTTAGGCTATCAACGGGCAGGCAAGACAGGGTCTTTTTGTTTCCATCTGCACTCAATCTTGGTGTAAACTCTGTATAGAGGGTTACAATTGTAACGGCAACGAATGAAGAGTCAACATGCATCTATTAACAATAAACAACTGACAGTGATGATCCGATCCGAAGACAAAGTGGAGGATGGGGATGGGGCCGAGTTAGCCGGATAACCATAACAACTTTAGTGAACTGTAAACTTAGCTACAGTGGAGTTTCAAGAGTTAGGTACTCCATATTTGGCTGCTCCGGGGAACTTTGCCTGAGAATCTGCCATTTTTTTGACCTTTTTCCCTTCTTGTCTCTTTTTAGCGTAAACGACAAAATCCAATGACCGTCAACGGCCCCTGCAGTTGGCATCAGGCTAATGCGGTGCAGTCACACACACTTTTCCTGCATGTGCAGTACTCTAACCAATGATATACAGCCGGGTCATCTTTTAGTGGCATCTCTTTTCTATCTAGTTATCTTTTTCTTGTTTTCTTTCAGTCGTTGGTTCTCTTGGCCTGTTACTCTGTTAGCACGTCTTATCTCCTCCATCATCTACTTAAGCTTCCACCTAACTGTGCCGCTAAGAAGAAATATGCAAGGGGCAGGGGTTGCTGAGGTGAGATGAGCTGTTTATGTTTGTGCTTTACCCTTTCATCAGTTCATTTCTGATTCAATACGGCAATCCCGATTCCCTTGCTTAATGCGTGTCTGTGAATGTCTCTGTGCTCTCCCGCTTTGAACAATCGCATTGTGAATTTGTCTTAGACAAATATAATCTCCTTATGCAAAGCTCGTAAGCTGTAATTAAATATTTCCTTTTTGGTGGCTTGTCGCAGAAGCCGACGTTATTTGCCTCTGGCGCTTTTGATTTGTCGTGGCTGATACAAGGTGTTGGAGCTTACCCACCTCCTGCAAGGGACTAGAGCTGATGGACAATCGATATTGGTGGCTGATTTTGTGATTGTTTTCCTAACTATGGACTACCCGACTAATCATGAATCGACGAATAAGGAGACATCATCTGCAGTTTCCATCTCAAAACTCGCGGTTGGCATAGATGGACTTTCCCTTGCCCTCAATCACCTCACCCACATAGTCTACATACTTGACAGCTTCAAAGTCAGGATAGAGATCCTTGGTGCTGAGGTACCCCAGATACTTGGCATGCTCTGGGAGGTTATCCTGACGGAACCACTCGCAGTTGAGGTACTGAGGAAGGACAAGTCCAAAGAGGAAAGGCAAAGACTTGTCACTTTGATCATATGCGGCCTGGGCTGTGGCGATGGTAGTTTCAATCTCCTTTGTTGTCACCTGATTCCTGTCAGTATTTTCTCTTGTCCTGATGTATTCTTGAGGGTATCATAGACTCACCTTGTTGCGCGGAATCGTCTCTTCGCTCACTTTCTCCAGATGGCTATGGATTTGCTCCTGCGACCACACCTCATTGTAGGCAAACACATACTTGTTCAGAGTACGCTCATCGGTGATGATCTTGGCCACGTATTTTCCAATGTCTCGGAGATCCGTGATAGCAGTAGCATGAGAACCATCCTCGGCCATTACCGTGGTGGGAAACTTAAGGGCGTAGTCAATCTTGCCAGATGGAAGAGCTGGGAGAGACACCTGGTACCACAAGCCAACGTCGATAACAGTGTAGGGCAGGTAAATCTTCTTGACGTGGCTGATGACGATTTCTTTCTGCGGTGTGTCAGAAGAGTCATGTAAATCGGACTACTCTGCAGTATACTTACGAATTCTCTAAGAATCATGACACCAGCAGGAGGACAGCTTGGACCAAAACTGCTGGGGACGAAACGCTTCACTCCAGCTTCCTTGGCAGCGTTTGCCAGAGCAATCTCGGGAGCAGGTGAGAATGGGACCAGACCGCTGATGACGACGTCTTGGCCAGTGAGAGTCTTGACAAGCTCATCATGGCTGTTTTCAAGGTTGATGGGTACGACCGAAATGCCTTGCTTTTTGATATGTTCGATCTCGGGCTTGTTGATGGAAGCAGGTCGAACAATCGCGGTCAAATTCTACCAAGATGTTAACGTCGGAGTAAGAGCAACGATGGAGTAAAATCACAAATTTGGTAGAGGATGCCGTAAGGGCTGCAATGGTGGACAAGCCAACCTCTCCGTTTGCGCCGACAATAGTGATATTCATGATGATGTTCTAGTGGAGGTGAAGATTGTTGAGATGATGTTGTTTTGAGATTGTGATGATGTTGGTTGAAGACCATGATTGAAGGTTATATATACTCATTCTGAAGTATGATTTGATAATCTCCGATATTTTCTTACAAATTATTGATTTGTTGTATAGTTTATCATTGAAGTTGTCGCTTTGTAAGTCTTGGTTGGGATTTGCTCCGCCGATATATCGGTGATCATGATTGACTCCACTATCCGTGATGAGCCAATAGAATTCTTGGGCGACAACCAGCAACTACGAATACACAACTGCTTGTTCTTGGTGTGTTCTTGGTATGATTTCTGTTGTAGCTAATACTAGACCATATAGTTGTTTGGTTGCCTTTGATTTGTCTCGTAACATAGCAAATTATCAAGACAGCACAGAAAATCCATGATTCAACTCATCCATCATGCATGATGAAAATATAGGTCGGTAATCAGCAAACACTCTGAGAGTCTGGTATAAATTATCTTTATTTCTCCCGTGTGAGCTCTATGAATTATCATCAGAATGATCCTATCTTTACCTCTCTTCAGCCCTATCAACTCTCGAGCCACATCGCCATGGATGTCTCCGATAGCGAATTGAAGACCACTCCGCCCATAAAAGAGCTGATCGAGAGTTCCAAAACGTTAAAATTTACTACCAACACTGATAAAGATATTGGCCAACCTGAAAGTACTCTACCCTCACAAGACTAGAGTAATGATTGTTTTCAGTCGCCGCGATAATGGACGCCTCGAAGCTTCGATTGTCAAGTTGGACGGCATTCGGACAGTGGTCTTGCACCGAAGCATGAAATATTTTGAAATTAGATACCCCCTGCAAGAGCTTTTGGAGCATACCATGAATAAACTGTACATCAAGTTGCGGGCAGACAACCCTGGGATTGACTACTGAAAACAATTAGAGCATTCATCCATCCTAAGACAGAGCAGAGAAAGCACGAGTAGGAAGGAATAGAGGGGATGCTGATTTGACCAGAGGTTGCCGGGTAGAAGTGATTGGGTCTAGCTCACGGTGACAAGATGCCTCTATGGGAAGTTGTCATGGATTTTCTGGACTAGCAAGATAACATAGCGAGAACTATGGAAAAACACTGCCTGCAGTCCAATAGAAAATGTGTCTCATGTTTCTTATGTTCATGATAATCATCATGAATATGTTCTTCAACAATTACGTCAATGAACCTGACAAATGCCAGTTTACTCAAGTGAATGAACTCAAGCCAAGCCAAGGGTCTGCGCGCGGTAAATTGCTGCCACTGTGCCGTACATGTAAGGTAAGACAATTGTACTGATATTGCTCGGACTCTGATTACTCGGATTCTAAATTGGCATTTGGACTTCAGTTCCCTGTAGGAGGACCTTGAAGTGCGGCGGGGAATTTCAAGATTTGGGATACTTAAGCATCAACAAGATCTAACTGTATTTCCAAGGGATATTGTTAAGATCATGGTTCTTTTTGCTATCAGACTAAAATCGCGCGCGCGGGAGATCCACTTGTGTCCAACCCAATTGTAGTAACCGCGCGGGGACCCTCAAGGGATTAGGCTTACATGACATGCTCAGATCAGACATGACAGGGTTTGAAAGGGTTCAATTACGAATAATATGCATTACAGAAAGGGCGACTATCAGATTCAATGCAACGTTATGACATAATTTATTAGAGAGAAATCATTACTTAGATATATACGATGTAGAAGAGTCGTGTATACGAAAAAGAGTATATAACCAAGACAGCTGCCTGTGACATAACTTGTCCATCAAACACTCCAAATACACACAATCACCATCACAGCCATACCAACTTAAAATCTATCATGTCTGCTCTCCAAAGCTTTCTCGTTGCTGGTGCCACAGGTCGTCAAGGCGGTGCAACAGTAGATGCCCTCCTCTCCCATCCCGATATCAAAATCAACCCAAACCAAGTATACGCTCTTACTCGTGAAGCATCAGGTTCAGGAGCTTCCAAGCTTGAACAGAAGTATCCAGGCATCAACATCATCGCTGGAGACCTGAACAACCCCAAAGCAATCCTCCAACAGCTGGACAGGTCCATTCTCCCTAAGACTGGAATCTATCTCGCCCAAGCCCATGGACCGACAGAAGTCTCTGACGCAAAAGGCCTTATCGACGCTGCGGCTAGCAACGGTATTCCTTACTTTGTCTACTCTTCTGTTGACCGTGGTGGTCGTGAGCTTAGTGACAAGGACCCCTCATACTGCAAGACCTTTTCCGACAAGTTTCTCATCGAAAAGCACCTTATAAGTGTATGCTCCAACAATAAGATGGACTACACTATCATCCGTCCCACCTGGTTCGCCGATAATGCCTGGTGGGGTTTCCCAGGCGCACTTTGCATGACGGGCTGGAAGGTGAACATGAAGGGAAAGAAGATGCAGGTCACCGTGACCAAGGATATCGGCAGATGGGCTGTTGAGGGTCTTCTTCAACCGGACAAGCGTGGTATTCGCAATGAAGCTCTCAGCATTGCCAGCGAGGAGCTCAGTTTTGATGACGTTGATAAAATCTTTATCAAACACGCCGGAAAGGGCGTTCCAGTTACATACAGCCTCTTGGCTCGCCTCTTGATCTGGTTGAGCAAGGATATGAACACCATGTTTGGATTTATTGGCGAGAGGGCGTATGGTGCAGATCTACCCTGGTTGAGGTCACAGTTGAAACCGACTAGTTTTGAGGAATATGTCAAGAGCGATGTCCCGACTGGAAAGGTCGAGTAGGTGTATAATAGTTTTCTTTGCATTCTTTTTTCTTCAGTAATAATATGTTGAAGTAATCACAATATGGCAGTGGTGATCAAAAAGTGGAAATGATATTGCATCGCGAATCAGTGACTTTCGAAAAGGAGGAAAACTAAGAATGGCGAACAGGTAACAGTTCTTGACATCTTTCAGACACGGGGGCATTTTCACGGAGGAACACATGTAACAGTTTTAAACCTCAAAATTGCAAAAGATAAGGAGCAGTCGAATGGGTGAAGGAGATTTTAGGTTCGGAGTTTAGAGAGTTTGTAGGTATTATAGGTTTTAGGACGGATACCACTCGACCACTCCTTATCAAAGGCATATAGAGTTGGATCAATATATCAAGGCAGACTGGCCCCAAAAAGTCCTTATCAATAGATATATACCTTAAGGCACTCTCTCCACATTCTCCACCTTGAGATTCAGGCTCGAAATCACGCCTGTCTTGGGTACACAGTTCATGTACTCAAACCTTGCGTCTCCCTCTTTTAACACCGAAACTTCGTGCCACGTTCTGAACTTCCTGTCCTCTCCAAAAGTCTTGTAATGTGTGAGTGCACCACGATATATAGCAAGGTGAGATTTGTGACTCTTCGCCCATGTCTCGAGAGCTTCAAGATTGGTAAAGAAACCCGCGCCGCACGATTCTTTTCTGGAAACACTCTCGGGTGAGGAAAGGCCTTGGTTTTGGAGGTAACGCAACCCAAGAGTTCCTGTTTCTGAAGAATTCTCCCACAGATACTCGAGTCCAGATCGGAGCGTGGGTTCGAGCTTTGTGTTATACGAGTCGGCTTCTTCTTGGCCGCAGTTTTCCCAGAATTGACCTGATCGGATGTGCGCTACGTTCTCGGCGTTTGTGCCGATGAGGTACTGGCCTAGACCTCTGGGTGCCGTGGATGGGGGTGTATGATCTGACGAAGGAGGGAAGAGATCGTACGCAGAATTAGGTATTCTGTCTCGGGCAGCACCCCAATATGCTGACAGAGTGTGTTCTGGGAATGTTGCACCGGGGAGTTTTGCGAGACCGGGGAGATAGTCGAGACCAGAGTAATTCGTCTCAAGCCTGGGATATTCTGTGACAAAAGCTTCTCGCCAGATACCGACTGAGGAGCGGTCTGGACTTGCCAAACGTGAGTAAATTGATTGGAGTGAAAGCTCGCCAAGACTCTTCTCGTATGCTGTCTTGTCATCCCAATAGCAGACCCATATAGTTGTTTCCTGTACATCATGTCCATCAACAACAGTAAATATCTCGTACGCCAAAGGGCCAGAATTTCCTTTTAGCCATGACTGGATTGTTGCAATGGCTTCATCTCGAGCATCGCCAGCTCCCGGGGTATCGGAGTGTTTCTGGACTCCGATGTACGCGGTGCCAACATGTGTGACATTATCAGGAAGGTTTAGATGCCATCGTGGGACTGGAACGCGGTGGTTTTTGGGTTTGCGTAGTGGATGAACACGTGCAGGACAGGACATGGTAGTATTTTGGTTGGTCCGACGATGCTATCGCAAGACATGTGTTGTATTGTCTATGGAGGAAGTTGGCGGTTGAGGTCGGCCGTGGTGAGGGGTTGGGGTAGGTCTCATGTCATTTGATAGGGGGCGTCATTGTTTGGAATCGACATCACGCATTATTCAGCTCGTTAAATCTGCCGATACCAACCAGAATGAGGAATCACGTTTTTGAGCATGATTCCATATGGTGATGCTTATTGCTTCAAAAATCCATGGGCCAAGCCACGGATAGTGCATCTCGGCTTACCTGCCACTTTATATCAGAATCAGCTGACATAACTGAAATAAATTATTACAATCAATGGAATCATCGCCATTGCCGATGCTTTTATTATTTTAGTCTATGGATTCTTATCTCCCTTGGCATAAAGCGGTCGCCACGCCGCTCTCTTCCGGACGTCAATGTAGACACCGAAGCCATGCGATAACGGAGAGACAAAGCGAGTCGAAGTGAGACACTGAATGTTTAGATTCTAGCTTCGGTCGTCACGTAATTCTAGAAGCAACTTTTACAATTCCGACTTCAGGGTCTTTTTTCCATGTTTGTCTCTATCTTTTAATTGTAATTGGTCGTTCTTGATGCGCCATCGGAAGGCGTCCCGGAAATTGTACTACGTACCAAGTATTGATTGCCGGGAGCGTATATATTTATCCCGATCAGATGATGATGAATCGTGTAGAGAGAGGGGTCATTGAATCTGTCTGCATGTTCCCTGTCATGCACAGTATGTTTTGGTGAGCGGTAAATGTGCCGGTCTATTCTAGATGTTTTCTGATCTCTCTTCTTCTCTTGGTAATCAAAAATCACTTGTCCAATGCAGTAGCAACTAGGTAGCTTCTAAATTGATTCCATTTCCAGGTACCATATCCCCTCATCATTGAAGCCTGTAATTACAGTGGGCACGGGGAACAAGGACATTTGACCGTCGGTTGTCTTTGGCACGGTAGCTTCCCCGCAAATGTCATCCCCTCACTAAACCTTGTAGGAGGCTTACAGCGAGTGGTGATATCTCGGCATCTCGGAGCCAATTCCTTTGCACCATGATTCCATAGACAGCCAAGATTACGGTGATGCACACTCATTTTGCGGGGGAAAAGGGTTAATAAATGGCATTGTTTCTGTTTTCTGATACTGTTTTCATACTTTCATCATCTATAAAAGATCCTCAACTCCCCCTCCTTTCTCTTCTCCCTTTCTGTTCTGCAATGGCTTCATCGTCTCCAAGAAACATCATCTCAAAGAACAAAACTCCCATCGCAGCAGTCGCCGCATTCGTCTCAGCAGCAGCAGTTCTCACTTCAATTTACAAATCTTATACATCCTACAAAATGTCTCACAACCTCCACCCCAGCATCAACAAGGGCATCACCAAGGGCTCTTCCAGCTTCTCTGGTGGCAAGCTCCGATGCAAGTGCTCCTCCAACCCCGTCGAGGTCACCCTCAAGGGTCAAGTCGCCCACAACCACGCCTGTGGCTGCTCCAAGTGCTGGAAGCCTGAGGGTGCTCTCTTCTCCGTCGTCGCTGTCATTCCCCGCGACCAGCTCCAGGTCACCGCCAACGCTGACAAGCTCACCATCGTCGACGAGAGTGCTGCTATTCAGCGAAACGCCTGCCGTGACTGTGGCGTCCACCTGTTTGGCCGCATCGAGAAGGAGCACGCCTTCAAGGGTCTTGACTTTGTCCACGTCGAGCTCTCCGACGAGAAGGGTTGGCAAGAGCCCCAGTTCGCTGCCTTTGTCTCTTCCATCATTGAGCAGGGCTTCCCCGCTGAAAAGGCCAACGAGGTTCGCTCTCAATTCAAGGACCTTGGTCTTGAGTCTTACGATGCTCTGTCCCCTCCTCTGATGGACGCTATCGCCTCTTGGACCGCCGCCAAGGCCAAGATCTAAATGTCTCACTCTAATGTAAGCCACTTTTCGAAAACGAAGAGTGTGCTGTGTTACAAAAAGTTGCAATGGTCAGGTTAGCGGGTGTTGGGGTATTTGGTGGTTGTTGTTTCGGGAATGTACCCGGTCTGCAGTTGAAATGGATAGTTGAAGAGGCCATCACATAGTGAGCCCTCGGATGAGATATTTGGTATGGAAGGATAAGAATAGAAGCTCAAGAATAGCATCTATCGATCCTAATTTATGATTTGATGAACCATTTGGGCTCAATTAAACTTGATGTGTCTAGAGTACATCAAACCCCAACACAATACTAGAGCTGTCGCACGTCGCAGCTTTGATATGTGCAGAAGCTGACTGCCAATAATATTCACAGCTGTGCTTCAATTGTCGTCTCATATACGACAATCGCAGAGAGCTTCTCAACAATGTATGTGATTATTAGCAACAATTACGAACAACTCCACTGATATATGCCTGCTAAGGTCCTCTTGATTAACTGTCCATTGCCATGTTCTGTTCCCTGAGTAGTGTGCACCTACACAACTATAAATCCATAGCCAAGCTTCTTCCTGGGCCTCTCTAAACAGACTCAACCATTCGTCCCTCACACGCACAACATCCCATCCCTAACACTGACTTTTCCAGATCCTACTATTTGTGTCTCACAACATGCCGAATTGTTCCCAAACGGTACCAGTGTCTCGACTAATTCACTGTCCACGTTGAGGATTTACGTCGTCATAAGAGAAACCAATTTTGCTGATCGATACCTATGGGGCTTTGGTGTCTACATCAACTCACCCGACGTGTGGTTTGGCTTTGCAGCTATTCGGTTTGGTCTAGAATGGTTACATGTGTACTATACTAACGATTGGCGTCAATACAGTGGCTTTATTGATGATTTCAACATCGCTCAGATTGGAGTTGAATGGCGCCCTTGAATACCTGACCTGTTCCGTCAAGTTCCCATTGTAGAGCATTCGACACGAGATCAAAGCGAGCAATATGTTTACGATGTATTGGACTGGTTTCAGCAACTTGGGCTCGTCAGTGCGAATGCTTCTGAGCAGGTAAGGACGCGCTTTAGACAGTATAGCGATGCTGTTGACACAGAAGCGGGTTCAGTTCAGATACCCGGAAGTTATCCAGAATAGTGTTAGATATTGCAGTTTAGCAATTTGAAATTGAGTTGAGAATGTCAGTACCACGTCACCGGAGAATAGCACGACCATATTGAGGGCCTCGGTTTGAAAATTATCACATAACTAGTAAGTGCTTATATTCGCATAGTGTAAACTCATAGTAGCAGTGTATCTTAAGAATGGAGATGTGTAACATGAAAGATCTGATACTCTAGAGTAGGGAGAAGTTGTTCAATATTGTTTGTGCTTTGACTCCGGAAACCTCACGTCAGAGGATCTAACTGGATATATATATTTCTCTATCCAGATAAAGAATGTACCCTATCAACGACTCCCTCTTAGACCAACGTTAGTAGACGTTATGCTAAAGATTATGGCCAAGACTTGTCATTGATCTCCTCAACCAATCAACACCCTACAAATGCGAGCGATCCAATAGGAGGTGCATGAACAGGGTCCGGATCTTGTCAGCGGAGATGTCCGCGGGGGAGCAGGGCAGTAAGATCCGCGGTAGCCACTTCATTCCCGACTTATAAGCATCAGGGCCACAAACTCGAGCCAATATTTAGTATTGCTAACCAAGGAGAACTTGACGTTTCCGAGAAGATAAACAATTAAGTAGCTTCACCTTTGAGACCAACTCAAGCGAGGCGCCACATCGGATCATTTTTGGTTATTTGTCAAAATATTCTGCAACCACATCTGCAACGACACCACCACCAAGACATACATACATACATAATGTGTCGCAAGGGTAGAGCAAAGGTCAAGTCTGGTTGTAAAACATGCAAGTGAGTCTTTTATATAACATCTTCACTGCATGATTCAAGAGCCAAGCACTAATAATCTAGACTGAGAAAAGTCAAGTGTGATGAAGGCCGTCCAGCATGTCAAAGGTGCCTCTCGACCGGTCGTACATGTGACGGATATGGTATCTGGGGTGGAGGATCAAAGGATCTGGTAGCCAGGCAAATCCCACGCTCCAATCCAGCCACCATCCTTGCTTCACTAAATACCCATGAGAAACTATACTTTGACTGGTTCAAGCGCCGCACATCCACCAAGATCTCGGCTACTTTCTCTTCAGGCTTCTGGAACACCCTTGTCTTCCAAGCTGGATCCAGGGAGCCTGCTGTGCTACACGCACTGCTTGCTTTGAGTTCAGCGCACAAAAAGGGCGTTGTCGAAATGGGCGCACATAGAAACTCCCCCGGCGCCGAGATGAACCAACAGGAGCAGTTCACGTTGCAGCAGTACGTCAAGGCCATTGGACATCTGCAGCCACACTTCTCCGCCAAGGACAGAGCCTCTTGTCGTGTGGCTCTCATCACATGCATTGTATTTGTCTGCTTGGAGTTCTTCCGGGGCCACTTTGCTACGGCTCAGCTTCACCTCAAGAACGGCCTTGACATTCTTGCCCATATGCAGGGCCTCCATGATGCTAGCTCAGGGATCCTTGCCTTGAAGCCATGCCAGGAAACCACCGACACTTGGATAGTGGAGGCCCTCTCCAGACTCCACATCCAGGTCGAACTCTTCCGACACCTCTATCATCACTCGTGTGTCATTCTGCAGCCGGCGCCTTACCCCCAGGACATCACACCTGATCGCTTCGACAGTCTTAATGATGCTTGGAAGGGACTGGAGCTCGTTTATAACCAGATATTTCACCTCACCCACCGAGCCCGTCAGCAGCAGCACATAACTACAACTGAGCAGGTATCCCAGCAACTCCTCATAGTAAGGCTCGCCCAATGGCAGCTCATGTTCCAAGAGTTCCTGAACACTCGTCCAGGCGGGCTCAATAGAGACATGGTAAAAGCATATCAGGTTGTGCGCATACAGTATGCCATGATAAACATCATGGCTGACACATGCATCCACAACAACGAGATGATATATGACTCATGTACGGACAAGTTTGTCTTGCTCATACAAGAGCTGACGGGCTTGTGGGAAGCATCGACTCACGATTATACCCTCGAGGACGAAATGCCTCTGCATATTATGGCAACGTGCATGCCTAGATCCATCATCGACCTCGGCTGGCTACCAGCGCTATACTTTACAGCTGTGAAATGTCGCGTGCATCGCATTCGTATTGAAGCACTTAAGCTCCTCAGAACAAGTCCTCATCGGGAAGGCATCTGGGATGCTCACATTGTTGCGTGTGTGGCTAAAAAGGTCATCGAGTTAGAGGAAGGGGACTTTTATGAAGGCATTGACCTGGATGATGACTTCCCCTTGAACACGTCAATGCGTGATCAAGATTTTGAGCTACCACTGTTGCCTGAGTATCGAAGACTGAGTGAGATCGAGACGGAGCTTTTGGGCGCTCCAATGGACAAGATTCGCTTATATGGGAAAAGAGAACAAGAGGGTATAAACAGGAGGGTTCTCTTGTCGGAGTATAACGTGAGCGAGCAGACCTGGGAGGATATTTGAGAGCAGGAGGGCTTTAACGATATACGAACGAATGAATGAGTTTTAGATTAGCGATCATAGCGAGATTTGGTATAAGTAAAGAATAGATGAGATGCATGTCTATAAGTTCAGTGGTATAAGACGCGATAAGATAAGCACTAAATACCCCGTCTCCCGTTTCCGAGTCGGCGCAGGGTTCCAAGGTAAACAATTAACTAACACAGCCGCGGGGTACCTTGATAGTTCAGTCTAACCCTCTCTTTAGTTCTACATTTATACGTTCTGTCCTGTCTCTCTTTCTATTCTAGACTCTCAGCCATGGATTCTGAATCTGTCGTCTCCCAAGTCCAGCGCAAGATTGAGCTACAAGCCCCAGAAGATCTGTCGTACCTCATCGCAAACGTCCGTCGCGCGGCCACTGAACGTCTAAATGAGGCTTTCCCTCCTGTCGAAGGAGCCGACGGTGAAGATGAATTGCGCAATCAAATAGAGAAACTCGTTAATGAGGTACATCATTCCTACTATACTCTACCGCTGAGATCTGACGCTAACCGATTAAACAGTACATCGATAAAACCTTCTCACTCGCATCCCCGAACCTCTCCATAAATGGCCTGCCCGTCATCGCAAACACCTTTCTCTCCGAAACCCCCGCTGAGCCAGAAGAAGTCTATGAACCTTTTGATACGCGCAAGCGCCGTCGCGTCGCAGACCTCATCACACAGGAAGAGAAGCTCCTCGAGGACGTCGCAGCCCTCAAGCGCTCCGTGCCCGCCACCGCTGCCACGAACCAAGCCGAGCTGCTGCGCGATAGTCTCAAGCGCGACGACGACATGCTGGAGGCGCGCAAGAAGCAGATTGCCGCGGAGGCGACCGAAATCGGGCTAGACGTCCAACCGCTCGAGAGGCAGAATGGTGTTGAGGTTGGGTTCCGAGACGCCGTTGAGGGTTTGGGCAGGTTAAAGCGCGAAATGCCCGCCGTGGTAGCCAAAATGGAGAGAGCTCGCGTCGCTGGCGAATACGTTGTTACGCAGGGACGATAAAAGCACCCAACTACTTCAACCTTCGCATATATACCCAGGGCAGCACTTCATTGTACTTCGGCGGGCATACTCAGGAGTTGGGGCGCATTGGATTAATCGGGAATATCTGCCATCACATTCTGAAGAACCACACACACCCGACACATCTCGACCGCTTCTATTTATCGAAAACTATGGGTTTGGTGATCACGATCACATCCTTTGACGTAAGTCTAAACACAGGCCATGCAAGCCTGACACAACTAGGGAAGAAAGGGGATCTTGCAAGTCATTTTCGTTCACACAAACGTCACTCTGGCCTACTCTCCGGCGACGTATGTTATCACTTGGTCCCCTAACTCCCACAACCTCCAAAACCTCGTTGTTGAAAAAAAGGTATAATGAACGAGAGAAAATATGTGGTCTATATTAAGACGCAGAGGAACCGCTCTGTCTATCTTTCATCGACATCAATCCCATCACACATCTCGTATCATTTAAGCAGCAGCAGGGGCGGGAGCAGGAGCTGTCTGGGTAGCGTCAGCACCATCGGCAACAGGAGCGGCCTCAGGGGCCTTTGCGGGCTCCTCAATCTCAGAGCCCTTGTTCTCAATGACATTGGCATCCTGCTTCTTCTCCCACCAAGCAGGGCGGGCAAACTCGGCCTCGTGCCAAGGACCAGCGTCGCTGCTCTCACAGCCACCCTCACATTGGCACTCACCGCCGAAGGCCTTGGGGAGGTTCTCGGCAGGAATTTGCTTGAGGAGCTCGCTCTTGTATCCGGATCCGAGAATGTTGATCTTGGAAACGGTGACGGGGTCCAACCAGCCCTTAACGATGCTCCAGACAGTGGAGAAACCCCAAGGGGCGTTGATCATATACAACTTGCCGAGACGCTCGGGGTAGTAGTTCTGGGAGATGACGGAAGCCTGCTTGACGTAGGCGTAAACCTGAGGAACCTTGCCGATGGAGACACCCTTGAGGTCCATGACAGTGCAGCATGTCTCGAGGAGGTGACCAGCCTTGCGGGAGCAAGCGGGAAGACGGGGATCGGCGACACGCTCGTACTCGACAGCAAGGTTGGTAAGCATGCGCTCAGCGGTGGTGATTTTGTACATAGCGTTCAGGTCGATACCGCCAAGAGTCTCGATGTAGATGGGTCGGCCATCCTGTACAGAGAAAAAAATATGAATTAGCAAGCAGTCCTTGATGAATGTTTTGATCGATTGTCATACCTTGTCGGTCTTGTGGTAGAACTGAGTGTAGTACTTGTTGATCTCAGCCTTCTCGGGGTAGTCCCAGACAGGCACAGTCTCGTCGAGCTTGGTCTCCTTTCGCCATTTCTCGGTATCCAAGAACCTATAGTGGCGGTCAGCCCCCCTGTCGCGACCAACGCATTTCTTTTTCCACCGCCATCAGATAAACAGGAAAGGTCTTACATGGTTTTTGAGGCCTCGACATCGAACTTGCGTGCTCGGAGGAATCGAAGCTGTAAGGTCATTAGCATATGTTGTGTTGCGTGGGCGTCGCGTAGCATGGCCCGTTTTCAGGGTCCATAGCTTAGCTATATCTTCGTACCAGAGTCAATGTGTCCAATCGGTCGGTGCAGCCCTCGGACTCGAGCATCATGCGGAACTGGTGAAGCTTGGCAATCTGGTCCTCTGTGAGGTAACCAGCATGGCCATCCTGCTTCTCAGGACCCTTGATAGGGAAATCATAGTTGTCGTACTTGGGGTTCAGATCCATGGTGAATAATAGTAGTAGATGGTGGGGTAGATGAGGAAGGAGGGGAAAAAGGAAGAAGAATCCGCAGTCAGAAAAAACAGCGGAATGTAAAGATTAAAAAGAGACGTGACGCAGTATGACGCCAAGAAGTTTGATGTTGATGAAGTGTTGAGGCCAAGGGGTAGGTCTTCAGAATTTAAGTCGCCCGTCCTAGGTGCTGAGAAGCGTAATTAAACCGTTTCTGGGCTGCTAGACTACTAAGTTATCTGGCCTGGTCTCCCCTAGAGATGGATCTCTGCTGCGTGCTGCGGTGGGACTTCGTCATGGGTCAGAGGTAGTTCAGTTACCTCCACCTGAAGCGGTCTAGCAGCCCACATTCCGTTGAGGGGTATCACGTGTTGTAGCATGTGCTAGAGCTAAGATGACTAAACGGGCCGCCTATCTTATCATCGGTCCCACTTCCGATGCTTTTGTTAGTCGGCGACTCTTGAATTTATATTCGAGTTTCACGAAAAGCCAAAATCTTGAGTCAATCATAGCGTTGCTCGCTTTCTATGGCATAATTGTTGTAGCATCATGAGGAATTCCTCCCAGCGGATCACCCTCAATGTCGCCCGCCTCTTCCACACTTCAGTCGCCGGGCCACGGCTGAGGCCTCATCGTTCATTTCATATCACATCTCTGGCTAACCTCCCACGAAAGCGAAGCTTCTTTACCTCGAACCCATACCTTTCCCAAGCTGATGATGATTACCGCCCGTCAGACGAGACTAGCAAGGAAGAGAAGGGTTCTTCCGCAGCAAAAAGAAAACCTACTCGATCCAACACAGCCAAGAATTCTTTGCGCCGTGTTGCTATCATAGCCCAGCAGCCAAAGCGAGGTCCAACAACGCCAGGAAGTACTAGCGATGAACCCTCCAACGTGGTCAGCGCAACTTGCGTTGCAGAATCGTTCAATATGCCGTTGGTTCTTGAGATCCTCTCATCTCATGGTTTCGACATCGATCCAGATGGCACAAAATTCGATGCAAATGAAGTGGTCCATGCAAGGGGAGTGAATGGTGGAGACATCTTTGTCTTTCCCTCTGGTACAATCGTGACATGGTCGCTTCCACCAGACGTCGTTACCAGGCAGATCATGCGTGCTGCCGAGGAAGCCCATGACACCAAGCTTCGGGAGTTTGAAGATCTTGAATTTACAACCGATACAAACCGAGAAGCAAGCGTACTCAAGGGCGATCTCATTGTCCTCGGCACACGAAAGGAGCACAAGGAAGCCGACAAGCTGGATACTACCCTAGCAAAGGTTGCTTTCTCCTCAGGTCTTGCCCGAAGTACAAAGCTCGCCGTTCTTGAGACAGCGTTGACGTCGTACTTTGAGAGCACACGCAACATCCCTGCCCTTCTCTCCCAAGGCGCTGGCATACCCCTCGGCCGTCGCTTCATCCTCCAAAAGACAGGCGAGCTCCTTAGTCTTCGCGCTCGTCTCAATCACTACTCCGAGTTGACCGATTCTCTGCCCGATATCTTCTGGGACACAAGCTCCGAATTGGGTCTCGAGGGGTACTATGAGCAAGTCGGTCGTGCGCTCGACGTCAACGTACGTATCCGCGCGCTCAACCAAAAAATGGACTACGCAGCCGAAATCGCCACAGTTCTACGCGAAATGTCAAGTGAGCAGCACGGTACAAGGCTAGAGTGGATCATCATCTTGCTCATCGCTGTTGAAGTCATCTTTGAGCTGCGCCGCATCGTTCTGGAGATGATGCAGGAGCGTGAGATGGCTGCTGATCTGCCAAAGCCTGCTACACCAGTGGTGTAAATTGTTAGTCTAGGTGGATGTGTCTGCAATACCTGGACGGCTGTACGAAGCGATGTATTATTAGTGTTTGTGAAAAAGATAGATGACGAAAATACGGGTCATTGAATGGCCTCTAATAGATACCCCCAACTCTAGAATTGACGATCAACCCACACTCAATGCGTGTTCTCTGTGTGAAATAGAGTTCTGAAATCCAGCGATAACTCGATATATCAGGAGACATGACCACTAACAGTGAGGAATAGCATAATTGTCCACTTAGTACATTCTGTCTGATGCTTGCTTCTCTATCGTCTATCAATTCTCTACTACTCCCATTCATGATCCCTCAAACCGTTCACAGCTTCAAATTACTTCGTCTTATACTCAAACGTTGTGGGATCTGTTTCATCAACTTAAAGAGATATTAACAATGGCAATAGTGTACCTTTTCTTTCATCTGCATACACGCGCCACTCCGGCGTCTTTGATTACACAGCCAGGAGTTTCCATTCCCCAGGTTACCCATTCGATGGAAAGACCCCAGCTATTCTCTGCTCTTCCCTGTAGTAACAAAATAAGCTCCTCATCCGTTTTTCCCTGGTTCTCAAAAAACCAACTCCTCAAAAAACGTAGTTAATAAACACAATTCGAGAATCCACCTCTAAACGCCCACGTGGTCTGCCTACTCGCTACTCCCATACCCCAGGTCCTGATCGATTCTTTATAACTCATTCCTTTCCTCGTCTCAGTTTCCAAAGAGCCACGACGTCGCCTATTGAGATGGTTTATGTTGCATGCCTGGAATCGGTGGGACTGGGACGGGAGTCACCTTATGCGGAGGCGGTGGTCCTGGTGTCCCATTCATACTCGATCGCGAAGAATTGGGTGTCGAGGGCTTCTGCTGGGCGGCGATACTAGCCCGAGCAGCTGCGAGCCTGTTGGCATCCATGACGCCCACCGGGCCATTTCCTACTCCGTAACCGGGCGTGCCTGGCTGCGCGATCTTGTCGGTGAACATGGCGGACCGCTCCTGGGCAGCAACCCGGGCTTTCGCTTGATCGAGGATTCGTTGCTGTTGTGCCTCAGGAATAACGGTGTGGTATCCTGTAAGTCCAGGGTTCTGAGCAGGTGTTCCTTGTTGAGGGGGGTTGCTCGGGTACCTATTCATTTGATTTCCCGCCGCTTGATTTGGCGTGCCATATCGCGGGGGCTGCTGTTGCTGCATATTATTCGGCGATGCGCTGTAGGCCTGTCTATTGACCACAGGAGACACCGTGCGTTGCGGCATGCCTTGCCCGTTCGTGTAAACCCCGAAGTTGGGTTGTGCAGGGGTGGCAGCTTGCTGCTGGGGATAGCCTGGCTGGAAAGGGTATCTCTGACTGGGAGTTCCCGGTTGAGGCGGCATCTGCCCAAACTGAGGTCTTTGTTGAGAAGCATACTGAGGCATGTTCTGGTGGCCGTAAGGAGTTTGAGCTTTCGCGACTTGGGTTGCGTACTGCGCAGGGTACCCATTGGGTCGGGAGTACTGGTTAGGTTGAGGGGGTCGGGCTTGAGCAGGCATAGGTCGCGGCTGAGGCTGGAAGCTAGGTGTAGGTCCAGGCCTGTAGTATTGTTGCTGCGACATTGAAGGGGTTCGTTGAGGGGTTGCATACTGGTTCTGAGGCGTGTGATGCCCGTAAGAAACACCCGATATACTGGGTGTGCGTTGTGGAGGTGGTCGAGCGTTGACTTGAGCAGCCTGTTGCTGGGCTCTTAACCGGGCCTGAACACCAGCTTCGTCCTCTTCCATAACTCCCTTGTAACCATCGGTCTGAACCTGGACCTTGGTGCTGATGAGAAGATCCTCGAGCTGATCTCCGTTCAATTTGGCTACTGCATATGGTGGCAGAGTCTTGATGATCAATGCAAGTTGAGCCTTGAGCACTTGGTACGTAGCTTGCTCCCCCTCGGAAGGGGTCGGGCCAGGGGTAGCCAGCATATCGCCTGTGACTGGGTCGCTCGATGAACGGTTTTGCGAGTTGGGGAGGTTGAGGTTTCGGATACGCTGGTAGGAAGACAGTGTTTCGATCAAGTCGGTAACCTCTTCCAGAATTTCATCCGCTTCCTTCTCCTCGTTCGTTCGCTTGGTTCCCAGAGCCTCTTCTAGTGACGGATCAACGACGGACTCGTCCCAGTTATCAATCGCTTCCTGGATAGCCTTCTCGTCAATTTCCATGACATTATCATTATCGGTCTTCTCCTCATCGTTAGCGCTGCCGCAGTATTCGACTTCGATCATGTTCTGAAAGTTCTTGTGTCCTGATCGCTGCCACCACATTCGACCCGCGACGCTGGATGGCACTAGTGCTCCCGAGTCGTCCTTGCAAGGCGCAAAGCTGGAAAACGCGCCCCGGAAAAGTGATTCCATTTCAGACAACTCGAGTTCGGTGGTCGAAGGTCGCTTTCCAGCCAGACTTTGCGCACGTTCTCGCTGTTTGTTCAAGGTTTGTGACGAAGGGGTCGCGTTGCTATAGTCAAGGTAGCACCCTGCGGACAACTTAGTAGTGAAGTAACTAGCATTTCGGAACTTGCAGTTGTCGGTCAGTTCTGGATGATAAAAATCCAGTGTGTTACCCTTGGCTTGCGTCTTGGGCTGCTTGGGGGGCTGTAGGGGTGGCAAAGACCGAGCTGATGAAAACAAGTCTCCCAGGGTCTGGGCTCGTTCATGGGACGTTGTGGGCATTATGTACGTTAATGATACGCCTGGAGGCAGAGTCAAGTCACGCAAGTTGGTTTCATGGGAAACTGGAAGACTAGAGAATAGTTTTTTCTCCTGGGGTGCATATCCGACAACAGAGAGTACCAATTCTCCCCTTTGAGGAGATGACGGCAGCTTGGCCTCGATGGGAAGAGGGTCCGAACTGATCTTGGGGTAGGCCTTTTCTCGTCGAAGAAGCTGTATGGCCTTGTCCTTGAAATCAACGATTTGTGTCCTCAATGTATCGTCGGCCGACTCATCTTTGTTCTCGGAAGGCTGCATCTTGATTTCCTTGAGAGCGACATGAATTGCGGACACGAGGTCATCAGCCACCTGGTCAAGATCCTCATACACATTCGCAGTAGCCTTGTCGGAGATAGTGGACGGGTCGGTCGACTTCTGGCGCTTTACTCGGTGATCATCTTCATCGTCATCATCAGAGGATTCGGGAAGGGGGCGCTTGAGGATGGAGGGACCGACGTCGTAGCTATCGAAAATGAGTTAGTGCACGGAACGGAGAAGTCATTCGCGATCAAGTTGCGATGTGACAAAAAAGTTGCAATCGAGGAGAAAAATGACAGGCGTACCTGCTGAGGACTTCAACGAAAGATTTTATCAAATCGCGTTGGTCCTTTTTGGGCTCTCCATTGGTAATGGCAGGCTTTTGCTCATCGGAAACCATTTCCTCATCGCGATCCTCTTCTTCTTCTTCTTCTTCTTCAACATCGCGTTTTCGCTTTCCCGGGGCGACGGATTGCGCCTTATCGAGGGTAGGCGATTCTGAGGTGCCGTTGGCTTGGATGGCCGTGGGCTGGGCCATGGTGGGTGTGGTCATGATGGCTTCAATTTGAAAGCCTTGGTTAGTTTTTTGTCGTCGTCGGGGCGTTGGCCGCGCCTCGTCGCGATACGCGGTAGTGTCAGTATCAGCGGTCGTGGCAGCGACAGTGGCAGTGGGTAGTAAAATGATAGTGGTAGCAGTAGCTGAAATGGTAGCGGTAGTGGATGGCAGAAACGGGTCAGGCCAGGTCCAGTCGCAATTCAATCCAGTCGCTGGTGCAACTCAAGGTAAATAATAGACTTAGTCGAGATAGCGCAAACTAGACTTCCCTTTCAAAGATGGCCACGACACAATCGTGCAATCGATGTAACAGGGTAATCAACTCGAAAATTACGCGACAAACACGTCTCGGAACAATATCTCGAGTCAGAAAACGGGGGGGGGGGAGAAACGAGACTCGTGCTCTGCTCTGCTCTGCTTGCTTGCTTCGCCTTGCGCTGAGTATGGGTCCAGGCTGGCCTGGGGGGGAAGAATGTGTCTCCTCGATCGCCAAGTACCCGACCCTTACTTGTCGCTGGCCCGCGCCAGACCCACTTTAGCACCGTAGGTTTTACGAAGAGAAGGTCTGCAAGTTAGACACGTGACTAGCTCAACTCAACGGTTTAATGTACCTTGGCAACCTTGCTGCACTGTACTACCGGTAGAGTTAGGAAAAAGCAGGTCATGTTAATTTCACGGTGAAGCGTTATGTTCTACTCGAGTATGTCTAAGTACTTTTGCGATTAGATATTGTGAAATGTTTGAAGCCCCTCACATAAACAAACTCGCAATGAACAATTAATTGGTGGCTCTCGTTTTAATAATTGCTCATCATTTGAGCTGTTCATGATCAGCCATCAAAACATCCGGGACTAGCGTAATCATGATCATGATCATCGTTAGCTCCAGTATGTATGCTCCGATATGATCTCATCATAAACACAACACGATCATGCAATTTAAAAAAGGCAGGCTAAAAGTCCATAAAGTTCATATTATAGAGCAGCAAGTCTGAGAAGCAATTTCCTCAATACAGCATACTCAAGTCTGTCGTACAGTTCAAACTAGTAGTCCCATGCCATTGTCCAACCCCGTGTCCATGCTGCGTATTCCCATGCGCTATTGAATAATTCATACATAAATGTTCATTTCTTACTTGGCGCGAGCCAGACCGACAGCGTTCTTGCCGAGGTCGTAGACAGAGTAGTATCGTCGGAGGAAAGCATCACCGAGGATAACAAGAGGACCCACGGGCTCAGGGAAGTCCATACCCTGGAAGGTAGAGATACAGCTGCCCTGGACCTCGAGGATGTAGTCGGTGGAGGGAAGGCTGTAGTTGGAACCAGCAAGGGTGAAAGTGATGTCGGGCAGAGAAGAGACCTTGTCGCACTCAATGGTGTACTGGCCGTTGTAGCCCTTCTTGGCACCAATCTCCTTGTTCAGGAGCTCAGCGAGAGCGCTGGGGAGGACGTTCAGAGATGTACCGGTGTCGAGGATGGCACCAGTGTTCTCCTGCTCGGCAACCTCGTCGCCGAAAGCAATGGCATCAAGGTCGACCTCCCAGTAAGCCTTGCGGCGGAGAGGAATGTACTCGAGGTCGCCAGTGTACTTGGACTTGTCAACACCACCGAAAGTAGCCTCGCTCTGGCCCTCCTGACCGTCAAGGTAGAAAGCGAAGACGGGCTCGTCCAGGAGCTTCTGGTTAACCATTTGGTAAAAGGGAGGGACCATGCCGTTCACGGCAATGCGGTCGTAGCCGAGACCGAGGATACCATCGAAGCGACCGAAAGCGAAGGCCAGACCGGGCTCCTTGGTAGCCTCAGCAAAGTCCTGGTCCTTGATCTTGAGGTCGCCAATGGAAACGACATCGTTGGAGACGAAACCGGACAAGCTGCCAGAGCCGTAATGGATCTCGAACTCGCTGCCGTTCTTCTTGTAGGTGGATGAAGCAGATGAGTCGTACTTGGAGTGGAGGTAGCAGGCGATGCTGCCACACTCTTGGGAAGGAACCCAAAGGTTGGAGCTACCGGTGTCGAGGACAACCTTGAAGCTCTGGGGAGGAGTACCAATGGTAATCTCGGAGAAGTCTGGAAGAGGTCAGCTTGGAATGCTATCCATCGAATTCGATGATACTTGCATTGAGCGTTCATGAAGTTGGAAACGGGGACGGGGTGGCCACCCTCAACGCTGGGGACGTTGGTAGCAAAAGCGTAGTCGGCAGCGTTCTTGGGGCGAGCAGCACCCATGTACTTCTGGCCGAGGCTCTGAAGGTGGTCCTCAACGGAGTTCATAGCCTACGAATTGTGTTAGAGAGCTTCAACAGAGCGCGCAAACATGACGGGAATCAGTCGTACCAGCTGGTCGGCAAGAGGAACCTTGTTGAGCTTCATCTTGTGAACGCCGGCCTGGGCAGAGCCCAGAAGCGCGGCAGCGGTAAGAAGAGCGCTCTTCATGATGGGCAATCGGATCGAGAATGCGACCGGGTTGAATGTGAATAGAGATGCTCGACAAAGAGTATTGCGAGCTGTGGTGTTGATGAAGAATGAAGATGCAAGATGCAAGATGCAAGATGGAGTTGGGGAGATAAGAGAAGATAGATGGTTGGTTAAGAAGTGAGAAAGCGGAGGAGAGTGACAGTAACGGAGCTCAGGTCAGTCCGAGCTGGGGGAAGCTTATTGCGCGTGTTTGCGGCCTGTTTCGGCCGCACCTGCCTGGATTCGTCAACAACGCCTCACGCCTCCAGGCCATTAAAGCCTTCCCCCTGCGAATGGCCTTGTGACTTGTCTGGCAATGACGCACCATTGCGCCTTCCCCGTCTCCACTTTCCTTGCCTGGCAACGAGTACCACTAAGACGCCTTCCCGCCTTAGGCATGCGTCTTTATCTGCATTACACAAGCGTTGTCTCATCTTATCTACATGCGTATCAGGAACAGGAACGGAAAAAAAGCAGTAATCAGCTTGTTACAACACTCTCTCTGGCCGGGGCTCGTTTCGTTGATACTATGCGTTGTCATGACAGCTTCGTCAAGAGGTTGGCGGTGATCATTGTTGACAATGACTGATTGATTGTGACCGACTCTTCGCTTCGTGCAATAACCCCTGTGTAAGTCTCACGCGTGCTGAGCTGTTGAACTTAGTGTTGTTGGTGGCTCGGACTACCACTAATTACCTGGACTAACCTAGCATTAGATCTGGGGTTATCAGTGCTCTAACTTGACGCGGATCCTCAATTGTGCCTTGTTCCTGGATGTTTTATGGGGACATGCGATCGACATGTCCCCCAAGAGACATCCACAATGTGCTATACCGATTGCTTACCGGTACGGATGAATGATAAGTTAAACGGTGAATATAATAGAATATTACAACAAACTGTATCTAAAAGCGGCTTTGACCTATTACAAATATACATGGTATCCTTAACCGGTGGCCCATCCCATCCCTATCCTATAACGGTGACAACCACCCGGTTGCGCACGTAATCTATCATAAACCATTATCTCGTAACATCGTTAACATTGGACCAAAACACTCAACGCCCACCCATCTCCTTCTTGGAACGCTCCATCGCCTCGGCAAAAGTCTGCCTCACATCATCCAACTCGGCATAATGTTTAATAAGAGCTTCCAGTCTCTCACATCTGGAGCCAGTCACTTCATCGGATAGCTTACACCATCCGGAGTGAAGTGCAACGAATAGAAATGCAAGACTACCACGGCAAACTTGATCGTCACGAATCCATGAGCGAAGAGCACCTCTGGTGAGGTTGACTCTACAGCCACGATCTCTGAGCAAAAGGACGAGCAAGCTCTTGAACCCGTTTTGTCCAGCCTTGAGGAATGCTTCGACAGCATCTTGACCGATACTCAGAGTCCCCTTTAGATATCTCTGCATCACGGGCAAGAGTCTATCGCCATGTCGCACGTTGAGGGTCGTGTTGATGAGCAAATCTTGGGTAATGTTAAAGTCATCCTCAGCTCTCTCCACCAGCCTGGAGAACTCTTTCGCTGAGCATACACCTGCTGCAGCATCGAGAAGACCCTGCGTCACTCGAACACTCTCGTTTTTGTGCTCAAAGATGACCTGCAGACCAGGGTATCCAAGCTCCCACAACACCTCGATAGCGATTTCTTCATCAATGTCAACATCATCAGCGCGGTTCTTGAGAAGCATTTCGAGAACTTCAGGGGCCCAGTCATCTGAATCTTTATCTGGCGCGGCGATCGCTGCTAGTACGACTTCTTTCGTGAACAGAACCTGGGATCGTGGCATTTCAAGGAAGATGGCCATAAAGTCTGGTCGGCTGCGGGTGTTGGCCAATGCAAGGATCATGAGTTCTTCGTCAACGAAACCCTCGTGTGCCCGGTGCTTGAGAAGGACTGTCAGCATTGCTGGTCCATGGCGATTCTCAATAGCTCGCTCAGCTACGGCTGTGGTAATCTGAATCCGTCTTCCATGCTCGGTGAGGAGGTAGTCCATGGTCCTTGGGTGACAGACGCTAGCGATGTTCCCCATCATCCATTCGTCAAGTTGGATGTCGTTGCCGTGCAGCTTGAACAACAACCTAAGTATGTCCAGTCCACGGCGCTCATTTCTTGTGGCTCCAATCATGGCAGCGTCACTCCATCGGAACTCTTGGTGTCTGAAAATGAGATTCATCATCTCAACGGTGGCACACTCAGCCGCAGCGCAAGAAAGATCTTGGTCCCGCGAAATCTCATCCTGTCGCAGCGTCATGATTGTCTGGAGCATTCCGGAACATCCCCATTTTGCTGCGGCACGGATCGTGTATGGGGTCATCGACTCGCCCTTCTTGAGAAGAAATGCCAGCATCTCGACTCTCCCAGTTAGTATCGCACTGACAACTGGCGACTTGAGGCGCGCGTGATGCTTTTCTCTGTCCTCATCGGTATTGCCGAAACCCAGATGCTCGACGTTTTCTCGTTTCTGGTTCAGTGATGTGCTGTTGGTGGGATATTCAGAGCCGTTGGGTAACCCTTTGAGAAATTTGATGGCATCCTCTGCGGCACGAAGCTTGCAGATACTTTCGCTGGCATAACGTACCCAGTGGTAATTATACTCCGATTTCGCTTGGAAGACACGCTTTACTTGAGTAGTGCTTGTTCCTGACCAGCCCCGCTTGCTTGCGATATGTCGAACACGCTGGTTAATGAAGACTTCCACGTCGTTCTTTGACTGTGAGAATGAATCGAGGTCCCTGTGAGTAAACTCGCCCAAGTACTCGTAGATCTTTGAACTTGGTCTACTTGTAATGGCGAGACTGAGGTTCTTTGCTGGCTTCTCGCCGTGGAAAGTCTCCTCGATGAGCTCCAAAAGAAGTGTACGGGAGTTGGAGTCGCACTCATCCAGTCCATCAATTACACAGAAAATATGACGGTCAGATCTGAAAGCGACCTCTACCAGCAGATTCCACAACGCCTGAGGCTTCTCAAAGACACGAGCACCGCGGTAGGCGTGTCTTCTGCGGATCCTGTCGCTGAGAAGGTGTGGGTGATTTTGGAAGATCTGCGAGAGCAGTCCTCGAAGGACCCCCTGAGCGCTGTTCCTTAGTACATCTTTGGAGCCACAAAAGAAGTAGGCGCATGTGTTGGTGGGATCAGTGGCGAAGTCGTTGGTGAGCTTCTCAGCGAGATAGACAGCCATGGTCGATTTTCCTCTTCCGTGGTTGCCAGAAAGCCACAAGACATGCTGATTCTCTGTCTCCGGCTTCAACCAGTTCTTAACTTCCTTAACACCCATCATCCATTCACAGGTCTTGGGGGCTCGAGGTCCTTGCTGCGTTCTGAGAGCATCCTTTACTATTGAAGGATCTGACCAGATTAGATCCCGATAGAAGGCTTCAATTTGCTTCTTCTTATCCGCATCGCCTAAAAGGGTCAGTGTTTGTGAAACAGAGAATCTCAAGAGTTGGCATTTTTACTCAAAATGTGACGCGATTCATAGCGCTTATGGGCGACTGTGCTTGTACTTGGCCAAGGATAGTGACCCAAGAAACTATCTGGCGACAGAGGCGACTCATCCGAGAGACGCGACATTGAGGATCGCGGCGAGTCGTTACTCGCACTCGAGAAACCCATTTTTATGTTGTTCTCGTTGTGAAATATAAAATTGAGATGTCAAGTTGAGGTCTACAACCTGAATCGACTTACAACAGTCGGTGTACTAGAAACTGTACCAGAAAGTGGCTGGCGTGATGCATGCGTCGACTTGAAGAGGGGTGGTGCTTGTAACCGTCTGTCATCAGATCAAGCGAAGAGAAAGTCTCATGACCATGAAGATTAAAAATGAAGTACTGTGACGGCGAGGAAGAAAGGAAGTGATGAAGAATGAATGAAGACTTTACGCGCTTTGAGAGAAAGAGTCGCGTCGTATTCGAGATCGTCTTTATGAATATCTGGCAATATGTCACAAGTGGAGTCATGAAGAGGAAAAGCGTTGGATAGTATTAGGGGAGCTAATGAAAATCTAAATTAAATTAAACCATCCGTTAATTATCAGGTTTCGTTTTCCCCTCTCATTGAGTGACCTCAAAAGGGGGTAATTTAGGAGGTTGGTGTCTACGCCAGCGCCAAGTATGGTCTAGGTTTGGGCTTGTAAATCTGACATCCTTTTCCAAGGCTGTAGATTCGACACTGGTTATGACGTTCACTTGTATCACGATAAGAAATGTCTTTTGAAAGGTTCTCAATAATCGTCAAATAAGCATTTTGCTTTTTGTTCTTGTAGACTCTCAATATTTCTTGTAGCCTTCGTCAAGTCTAATGCTAGTCATGACCCCAGCCTACCAATCTTGAACCCATGAATGTTATGCAAGTCATTAATGCCCCCTGTCTATCTCTTGGAGAGAAACACATTCCATTGGTTGGTTGCCGTCCAACCCAAAGCTCTGGTTAAGCGCTGTCCTGCAATATATGTAAAGACTAAAGAGCATATATGGCAATAACAAGCCTTGAAGGAATGTCGCGAATCAAGCTCAGTTGACTGAGGGATTCTCGTCAGTCGCCGTAGTTTGTTTATGATGGTAATTCTAATGTATGCAAGTGAAAGTGAGGACTGAACGTCGTCACTAAGTTTGGAAGCTTTTCAGGATTCTGAAGGACATGTACTTTTGCGACTATAAGCAAGCGCAACTTTTCGAACTATTTGTCCGGATATTTGCATTGCATGTACTTCCCGGTTGCATCTTCCTCCAGGGCGGCATATGGGTAAGAGCTCAAGCCTTTCGTGTATGGTGGTTAGACAGCTAGTGGTTGCCCGTCAAGAATGCCTTTGGCCTGTCAAACGCGATATACTTGTCTTGCACGTGTTCATCTTTTATGCCCTTGTAGATTGAACTAGAAGTGTTTCGAATGAAGTATGCTTCTAGTTGTAGGTAACTAGATAGCAGAAGTAATGTCACCTCTAGGGTAATATCGATAGATAGAGCTACAAAGTGTCAGATGTACTTTCACGCTTTACAAAAAGATCCAAGAAAGAGGGGCCATTTTGGATTCTTCCTGAAATCGTGTTATTTTTTTTATTGATCTCCACAGATATCAAAGCCAATCATGGTGGGTTACCTTATTACTGAGGACAGGTATAATACAAGTTTGCCCAGAGTGAGGCTCTAGCTCTATCATCTCAGGTCAAGCGTGTCGAAAGACTGAAACAGAGTTGAAGTTTTAGTTCGCATCTTCAAACAGCAGGGCATATGACTTACTACTACAATATCTTTTGTGACGCCTTTGCATCCGTTCAACAATATTGTTTCGATAGAAACAACTACCGTAACTCAACTGATGGACACTCCAAAGTTTAAAATTCCGAGAAGAAGTGAGTGATTAAGTGCTGCTATGCTAAAAAAAATAGTAAGCGGTTCGCCGACCTCGGCACTCTTGCCTTGGCCGACAGCTGATGGCCCCAGACTTGGGTCATCCATCTTATTTATTGGACGGCATTTTGACCACCAAGATCATATCGAGCCGATATGCTTTTCCCGTGTTTTTTTAAACACAGAGGCAAAACTCAGTAACCAACTAGACACCCAAAGGAGAACAGAAAGTATTTTGGAATCCTTAAAGCTCAAATGCCCATTAGAAAAATATAGTATAAACAGATGAGCATGGATACAAGGTGTAAAAGTCTTACTATTAGGTATAGACGTATTACATACTGTTGCATTATTGGGGATATACTATTGCAGTCACCGCCCTTTTCATCTTATTTAGATTAATAGTATACCGCTAGAAATATATATGTTACTATGTGCATTATATTAGAGTTGTCATCATTGTCATATAGCGTATATTATAGTGCAATGAATGCAATTTAGATTTGCCCCTCGAAGCATAAAACGTATAGGGAAAGAAGAAGAGTGATATCTGTTAATCATCAAACTGAAATCTGCTGGTTCGACTCATACTTTTGTTTCTCGTGTTGGTTTACCCTTGTACTTTGCAGAAAGTCCGTGTTAGGAAGCCAAATTCGACGGTAGTCGGTACCATCAAGCCCTCATTCATGCTTTCGACAGACTAACAGTGGCTAATATTCCCAGACTGCAGTCAGTTTATTCAAAGCAGAATCTATAAAAAGGTTTTACGCATCTAATGTGGCTAGCAGGAGAGTCTTTTCGGTATGCATATAGCTCATCAGCTTACAAACAGTAGCAATGTAGCCATGTACGCAAATATTCATCCATACAATCTTCCTCGTTGTACCATGCGACAGTAATTAGATCGAAATACGATGTTCCGAATCTATTCATGCCGATTTGGTAGGGACTTAGGTAGGTATTCAGGAACTTTAGTAACCGGAGCCTCGTTCCTGAAGTTTCAAGTCAACCAACAGCTGCCAATGCATGAGTTGACCTCGGAAGCTATAAACGACTGTTGGTTGGCCCCTGCATATACTGTGGAAATTACCAATAAGGTCTTTGTCTGAGTAACAGAATGGAAGAGCCGGATCCCCGCTGTTGCCGAGATCCATATATATCCTTGCTATGGATCTTCTTGAGACTAATACGTACGACCAACAACCCTTCCTAATAGACTTTTTATGGGTTACGAGTCAATATGTAAAGCGCGGTAAGACAATGTCATCGATGTTTATGGGCTTCACTCATAAGTGTTGTCTGTTTGTAGATTGAGTCTTGTAACCAGGTGATGTTATAGCCTTGCAAGTATTTACTGTTCTTTTGTATTTGGGAACAGGCACTCAGAACACCAAGAAGAGTGCTTGATTAGACGGAAACATGCACCATGGACATCCAGGGATGATAGGCAAGTGGTAGATCATCTGCTGATCAGTCCACCTTGTTACCGCCCGCCTGTTGGTCCAGACCTGTCGATGAAGATGCAGCACGAAGACGCAGTGCCTGCGTCTAACTTGTAGAAGATCGGCCAGGAATAGCCCACATGATACGAGGTTGAATGTGAGGTATACATAGGGGACCTACTTCAGCAGAAATCGACTCGACCATCGAGAATCTCATTCCTCATTCCAAACAGACATTATGAAGTCACAACCCTCGCTACTACCCGTCTCTCTATCACACTTGGGCTGATCTCGCTTCGGCCGCCTGTTGCGACCTCAAAGTCTGCGATGGCTTCAACCTTAAGGGCAGATGCAAGACTTCTTGCTACCCCTACACCAATACGCCAGTCGCACTCAATGGAGATGGATTAAAGGCAACTATCGTTTCCGGCAAGACTGACACGGGTTGCAGATGTACCTTAGGGCTTGACAAGTGAGTGCCCCATGGATGGTTAAAAATCTTATCACCTCTAACTGACATGTTAAATAACCAATCCTGCATGCTCGTCAACTCCAACAAGAGGGGGGCCTATGCTCCTAACCATTGTCTCACTGGCATTGCCTTTGCCCAATGCCAACGTGCTTGAGCTCTAGAAATGCACAAGTTTAGTCCTCGAAAATATTAAGTTATTGTTTCCCCTGTCTTGCATTATTTAGTTACTGCTCGTATGCTAGCCCGAACCTCCATTGGTATCCCATATCAACTGCAACAGGGATGAACAGAATAATAGAAATAATTTGGCCAAAACCCCATTCATTTCCAGCATATTCCTGTCCCATGTTCTCAGACATATTCCCCTGAACTTTCCTCAAAGTGAAGATCACCGACAGCAACGGTACAGACAAGCCAACAACCACAAAGAGAGGTACCATGGCAGCAACTGGCCTGTCACTAAACCACACATTGACTAGCTCTCGCCAAGAAGGCTCAACCCCTGATTCTTGACCTTCTTGTGCCTTCTCGTTGAGATGGGGGTGTGTTTTGGGAAGGCCGGCAAGGAGCCAGAATGAGAATAGGTATGCGATCAGGGAGGCAGTAAGTTCTAACCCGTTCAAAGACCGATAGGTCATAGTCTCTCCCAGGTGTCTGTACTCTTGGGGAAAACACATATCTTCGATAGCGCTCCAGTTGGTCGACGATACCTCTGACCCTTCGCCATTGCCGATCGGACTGACGTCGAAAGCATGTATGCATCTCGATAGGAAGGGGTAGAATGACAGGGCTATTATTAAACTTAACAACAGTAATCTGGCATTGTGCTTCACATTGTCCCTCGGGCATGTTTTCGTTCTTGGCTCTAAGAGAGCAACAGGATACAAGAGTGGCATCATGCTCACCACGGCCACAGTTTGAGAGATGCGAGCTTCGATGGCGCCCAGATCTGCGGTACTGATTCCGTAATCTTTGCGTACAAGCACCGCGATTGTCGCAAGCTGCAATGAGAGAGCAAAGTATGCGGCTGAGTCAACGAAAGCTGCCAGGCCGGTTTTTGCAATACGATGCCACTGGCTGGTTTTTTCGCTTTGCTTAAGTACAATGACTGCAAGGGACAAGAAAACACTGAGTGTGATCTCAAGAACATAACCGATGGCAACCTGGTATAAGAAATCAGCGATAACTCATTGAAAAGCAGTACCCAGACGGACTCCAATACCAGATATGTCAGGATTGCCTGTGCCGTATACCGCAGTACATATCTCGTTCTGGCAGACTTCCAGATTATCCTTCTTGAATTGGGTCTTGGAGGCGAGAAGGCGGATGTAACTACTGAAGTCATTCAGTTCCATCCATTGCGAACAATCGACTTTGGGACTCGACATGATGACTGTTGTTTGGTCTGAAGGAAATTCCGCGGGGATGATTCTTCATAGAGAACTATCTTCAAAGACATAAAGTTGATAATGTGACCCAGCCTGATTTTGTCTTACCGCATTACCTCAGCTGCGGCTGAGAACGAACTATCTGCATGCGGGATCCAATTGTAGGAGCAAAAATACATTAAACCTAAAAGTGGCGTGTCATACTTGCTTGATCTGGGCGCAAGCCTGATTATAGCCCTTTGGTTCCTACCAATATGTAAGGTCCTCACTACTTATCTCACTGACCAGGCTTGCATCTTGAATCAGAAATGTCCAGTCCTATCCAGAGAATATACGTTATCAAAATGTCAAACCTCATATCCTACTTCGTTCTCAGCTTCTGCCTCATCGGACTGGTCAAATCATTGGATAGCGACACAGGATTCGATTCTGTCTGCGGATATATCAATGGTGGTAGGTGCCCTGTTAGTCAGTATCCCAGTCACCAGCTGACAGATAACGTGCGGGATCAGATATTGATCGTGCCCTTGACTGCTCATCTGAATCGTGTGGATTCTTATCCATACTAGGCCACAGCAATAAATATGTCGGGTGTTGTGATGGCGTGAATTGTGTCATTCCGACTGTATGTATCGAGTCAGGCTCGGCATCCAACAGTTACACTGTGGAATGGTAGGCGACATCTGAGCTCAAGTCAAGAACGATGCTAAGACCAAACGCAGCATCGACGATTCTCTCCCGGCATGTGCAACGTATACATGGCCAGAGCTCGAGGCAAAGGGGTACTTCTGCGCACCTTCTAGGACTACCGTAACAGTAATCACAGAAATGACTTCTGGTGGTGAGACTACTCCAACAACCGAAAGGTCAGCTACGGCGGGTCCACCAGATCTAAGCAGTGATCCTTTTCCAAGCACAACAGAAACTGCAGCGCGGCCGACTGTAACTTCAACGGCCAGTGGGCACCCGCAACCAACAGAGGGTGGTGGACCAAACCTGGGGACCGAACATGGTGAGCCATCACTTGATGACTTCTCTACATAGGGAGTTACACTAACATGTCAACAGACTTGAGCTCACGACAGAGAATTGGCGCAGGAGTTGGCTCAGGGGTTTCTGGGGGATTGCTCTTGGTGTTTTTTGCGTAAGTGGTGAACCCTTTGACGCGCATTTGTAGCGAAACCAATTCTAACTCCAATATGGAATCTTTGGGTGTTGTGGGTGGCCAAGGCGAAGGACCAATCCAACCAGGAAACAGCATATTCCTGGGAGAAAAGTATACCAATATGCGCCAGTACCTGCTCTTCAGGCGACTCCTTAATAATAAGTCACTGCAAAAGTCACAGCCGGTGCTGCGATATGGCGTTCAGTGGATATAGCCACCAAAGGCAAGATCCGTGAGGGATGGCGGCGAATAGATGATCATCAGGGAGGACTCACTATATAAAATTGAAATCCGCAATAGTAAGTAGTCTTCGTACAATCTCGATACACAAATCCCAATAGGTATCGCGGGGTGAATGAACCCAGGGCTAGAAGGGCAATGAGACAAAAAAAGGCAATGTCTCTGGTTCCTGGACTGGCATGACAGTCAGTCCTGTTTTCTTCAGCGCCACCAGTCAAGACCGCAGGGAGGGTGTTATTGGTGGCAAAGTCCACAGAGATGATCATACCCTCAGTGGATAGATGATCCGACAAAAACTTGGAGGAATCAGGGCTTGGGAAACTCCAGGCCTTGGTTATGATCGCACTAGCGATGCAAGACAACAACAAGATCAAGAACGCCAGCAGTCTCAATCTCTTGTGATTGTAATTCACAACAGTGCCAAATCGATTCAGGGAGGTGATGGCAGCCACTAATGCGTGTTGATCTTTTAAGATTGAGTCTTCCAAAAATAGCCCAGATAGCTGATCAATCAATTTCGCAGATGTCTCCGGTGAGGAAAAGAGAAGGTTAGAAGGGTTCAGTATCCGTAAGGCAAGGTTGAATATAGCCAGTAATGAACGGCCCGCATGCCAGCGGACGGCCACCAAACACGGAAGCCTGTGCAGGGCAGGGGAGCGAAGTCATACCCACCATACCGTTCAATACAGAGTAAGGGTGCCCATGATGCGGACGAAGTGGATTGAGTTATGCCAGCCACTATCCACAATGCTGAGGGATCACCCATGTCGTGTTCGGTGGCAACCATTATATATCAGCATGGACAGCTCGGAACGAAAACCAGGCTGAGTCTGCCAGGTCCGGAATATCGATGTTGACGACGAAAAACAGTTGTCCAGCCATACGGTTTGCAAATAAACTTCATTTGCGCATATATTGGCGACGGTTGACAGAGAGAAGGGTGGCTATGGCTAAACTAACAGGGCCTTGGTGATACTGAAACTTGGGCGATGGTACCTTGGGGGGCAATATACTAATTAATGCGAATCGAAGCTCGATGAATTCACAACTCCGTCCGCTGCAAAGCCGGTTGTTCCGGCGGGACTGGAGATCCGCGAAGGCATGAAATCTGTATGTCCAAGCTGCATTGTTAATAACCACACAGCCATAGTATCTACAATCTACAGTAGTCAATATGAATACCCACAGGTCCCTTGATCAAAGTCAATCTCCATGGGGTTTTGACTTGGCATCACATCGCTATCGTGGGTTTAACTGTAACGGTTTGATTCATCTCTTGGCGGCCTTGACAGGGGATAGACATGGCAGGTTGTTAGGGCATGATAATAGGGACAGACCCTATTCAAAAATAGTCAACAGGCTTTCCTTGCTGACAGAGTTCGAGTTTGTCGCGCCAGGAGTGCCCTAAGACTTATCCAATGCTTTTGTTGTGTATACGCCGTATAGTTAGTCGACCAGACTATATGGTCTTACGAGCAAGCGACAGCAATCATCGATCTCCTGCATTGGCGTGCAAGCACCCATCAAGCTTGGAACTCTGAGAACAAATTTGGTCGCGAATTACCTCGCGGCCCTTTTATGAAGGAGGTTGACGCGATCCACAAGTGAGATTCGAACAAGGACAAACGAAGCAATTGTTTTGCAGATGTCGACAAAAGGGGTAAGTCCCGCAACTAATGTAGGAACCCAGTCATCTTGACCAACCACAAACGCGGCAGCATACTTGGGTTTGGTGATAACCTTATATGAAGGATGCATAAAACAAGGAATTATCATCTTTCGTGTCTGTTGGCTTTATGTAAGTACAGTAAAACTTAAACCAACTCAAACCCACAGTAAGTTTTATGCACCTGGATAACAGATCGATTGAACAAATTCCGGAATTGCGGACGGCCCCTCTGGTGTGTGTATGATCAGTAGAATTGAGGTTGATTCATCTGGAAGAGCTTTGTCTATAAGATTATAGTTGTCCTTTTCTTTTTCTGGATCTTAGCTGTATCTCAAACTTTGTATAGTCTCACCAGTTTCTACAACATATTGTTGGCTGTTGAATATCGGGACGCTTTGGTATCGACTCAACCAACTGTCCAATCGATATTTTGTTACAGGGTTAGATACCGAGACATTGGCTACTGGTTGGATCATTAGCGTGATCTTGATATAATGCACCTTTGATAATTGCTCGAAGAGAAGGCTCCTCAACTGTGGTACAGCATCAAAAAATTATTGATATGAAGTATAAATCCCTGCCAGGACTCATAGATTCTCAAGACTGCTGTCAACCCTGATATAGCACATGTATAGTCGGATGCTCTTAAGAAGACTACGCGTCTTATACGTCAAAGGTCGTATCTTGAGTAGATTATTGACATTGAGTTTTCCATAAAAGCAAGATTCACGAGACACGTGGATCGAGACGGGTCAGCGCCGTATGCATATTAGCTGACGTGCGCCTCTTCGTGAATAGCCCCATTTGCATATATTTAGGGGTTGCATAGTGCATAAATTATGAAAACGTCGAGAATTGTGGCATTGAATTGCGGCGCGCGACCATGGGGAGTGCATTGACGAGCAAATGAACTCGGAGCCTCCACCTGTCTTGGAAGGCCAGCTTCAGCCAAGCTTCTGTGAGTGCATAGGGAAAACTATAGCTGCAAGGTACAGAATCGTCCACCCGCGCCTCTGATCTTGTGTGTACTGTACATAGACGCAGTCAATGTTGTCGTTCAGTGTTTCGTCGTTCAGAATCTCAACAAATCCGTAGAGTGGTTTATACTCATCGCAACCGAAATCGATGTCGAACTGCAGTTACATATCGACAGTTGTGGTTAAACCGAATAAATTGAGGGTGTTCTGAAACCAAGCCAAGTCTAGCCTAGATCTGCGGTACAATATCCTTCTTTGGGTGATGGAGGGTACGGTACGTGGTCGACTTTGTCGTTCCTGAATATCATTCATAAACTCGTCATGGACCACATGAAGGTAAGTAAAGCTGGTCAGACTTGATCTAATTCACGCCGCCGACAAGTCAAACACGATGTCGCTACTCCAGAGTTAGGTTGAGCACTGGGTCGATGGCTCCTGGAGGGACTGGGACTTGCGTGTCGAGCGTCTTTTTGAAGATCCAACGCCTAACGTAGATCGCGTGTTCCACTGGTGACTGGTGGCAGCACATTCCAAATTTCCATCCAAGGTATTGGATGAGGTGGCTTGCTTACAGGCGGGTTCAGCGGTCGCAGCGGCTCCAGTACCCCAGTGGATGGCGTGGCAGAGTAAAATGGTCATAAGGGGGGTGGTTGCGGTTCAGGGGGTCTACTTTGATGAAATCCAGGGGATGGTTGGAAGCGGCGGTCGGAAGATTGAGGCACAAAAGCCCGGAAATGAGGACATCTCTAAGCACAAGAGACTTTCTTCTTCTTCTTCTTCGAGGGCCGAGGCGTGTCTGAATGGTACTATACTGTCAAACAGGTAAAATCGCCCATGTTTGACGAGACTCTTGCGAGATGGCTGCGGCTTATTTGCCCTGAACCTTTTATTAGCCTTGTGACGGATAACGCCTGAGGCTGCCACAGCCTACCACAATTTCAAGATGATGTTTCTTTCTGTCTCGCCGCAGTTTTGTGTGCGTTTGTGCTTGTGCTCGTGCTTGTGCCTGTCAGTGGTTGGGGACGGACCTGAGCAAAGATGTTTCCATGATTGACGGCGTGGTTTCGTGTTTGTGCCCAGGCCTATGTAGACCGACCACGGGCAGGCAGGGAAGGCACGGTGGCATCAGGTACGAGCGGTTAGGCAGTTTGTTCCCATTAGAGTTATGCATACTGTTATCCAAGGTTTGTGTAACTTGGTTAGCGTACACAAAATGGGTAAGTGATGTACCGTTTAGTCGTTGTCTAACGGGCGGCGCCAATTAAAAGGTTGCATTTTGGCTTAGTAGTCGGCAAAAGTAGTGCTCAGGTGCACCAATTGGTGCGTGTTCGGTCGGATTAGAGGGCCTTAGCGGGTTGACCGTCGACGAAAAAGCTTATGCAATGCGTGATTTTGTGCAAAAGAAGAATCTGACCTCCTTAGCTTATCCGCCAGCTTCTCGAGTTGATCCAAGATGGAGACCCAATCCTTGCTAGATCCCTGACAGTGGCTCCACCAGATGGAAGGTGCCCCTGCACCCCCTGTTCCTTTGTCTCGCCGTCTCTTTGCATTTACTGGCTGCTACTCTGAGGCCCCATGTCTGGCTTGGCTCTCCCCTTCACTTGCACGTCTGGTCCCTTTCCTTTTCCTGTTCTCTCTGACTCGCTTCGCCTCGCTTCTGCTACCTTTCTCTCCTTCCATCCCCCATCTAACTCCCATCTCCTCTTTCAACAAAACAAGCCACTACCTCCGGCCGTTCGTTCGTTCCAGTCCCTCTTTCACCTCCCCACACTTTCAAAGCGTTTGTTATTTCTTCATCTGTCTGAAGCGTATCGTGTTCAGTATCACGATCATCGCTCTCTCTTACTGTTCTCATCACGTCTCTTTTTTATTCACGGTATCTTGATCTTCATTCAACTGCCTCAACTCGACCGTCTCACAATCGATATAGTCGACCTTAGATTACCGTCGTCTTACAACTCGACGACACTGCTAGGCCAAGCCATCAAATCCATCAAATATCCAGGAGGAATTCACAGTGCAGCCAACAACGACGACAGGCACGAATCGATTGTCTATCAACTGAGAAATATATTGCGGATAAGAGCCCGATAAACCGACGACTTTTAGATCCGGCTCGCTTCGACTACAGTTGATCTGACTCGAAGTCCGTGTCGACGATCAACTTATCATAATTCTAGTATACCGACTTGTCTCCAAATTTACGGTATCCAGATCACTCATCATGAAGAACTCAACACTGTTTTCAATGGCCATTGCGGCTGCTAGCCTTGTCGGTGTCAACGGACAAGTCAGTGGAAAGATAAAAGGAGAGCAATGGCCTGTTGCCAAACCCGTCTTGAACGAGATAAAAGGCCAGGGTTGCTGGAAATCCAATGGCAATATGACGCAGGTGTATTCGGGACCCCTCACAACGTCTGGCAACTGCTGGGATCGCTGCAAGAAGCAGTACGCTGTATTCGCTCTACAGGCTGATGCATGTTACTGTGGTCAGCTTTACCCGCAAGAAGATGATCTGGTTGACGATGACAAATGTGACTGGGAATGCCCTGGCTGGCCTTACGAGGCTTGCGGTGCACTGAAGAAATACTATTCCGTATTCAACTCAGGAAAACAACTAGCACCCGACAACTACGTGGAGGAGAAGTCGACCTCAAGTGCTGCGCCCTCGTCAACCGAGGCCGCTTCCAGCACCGCCGCTGGCAGTGATTCTTCTACCTCAACTCAAACCGACGAAGCAGCTGCAAGCTCGGAGGCGGCCCCCGATGATGATAAGAAAGACGGCCCCAATGTAGCCGCTATTGCCGCCGGAGTTGTGGTGGGCGTTGTGGTGGTCGCTGCTATTGGTGGCGGTGCCATCTTCTTTGTTCGCCGCCGACGCAACGCAGAGATTGAGGAGGAACACCGACGAAATGCTGCTGTGAATGCGTTCATCAACGGCTCCAAGCCCCCAGGCAGCAGCGGCAGTATCTCCATGACCGATTCCCGTCTTGATCCAGTTATGGCCCATCGACGACTCAGCGATGGCAGTATCGCCGATAACCAAGATTATTCCCGAAGAATTCTACGGGTAAGTTACCATATAGAAGAGAACACTCGCCCACCATGCTAATATAACATTAGGTCACCAACGCTTAATCGAGTCTCCAGTCTCGACTATTCAAGGTCTATACTTTTCATCTGTTTCTCACTTGGCATTCACGGCGTTTTATTGGAATGATAGTTCATGTCTGTTTGCCAATCGATCGCTCTCGACGATTAGGCGGCGTTTGATTTTCGGGCGTAGGACTAGACATTTTTCTACTATTTTGCGTCTGCGGAAATTACGACTGGATTTGATCAATCATGCTCCATGGCCGGCTACCTCTACGCCATCCACTCATTACCTCCTTACTTTTTTTTAACAATACGCCTTGATCGAAGCGACTGGAGAAGATGGGAATAATGCCGCAAGTGCCCTACTAGAAGTCATACTTCCCTCTGTCCATATCATGGACGTCGTCTTGGCATAAGGGCATTTTAGCGGCACTCATACCCGCGTGTAATTCGCACGTTTGTTTTCTTTTCTTCACGACTGGGAGTTTTGTCTCCTGTGTACAAATTCTCTTCGTCCTTTTAGAAGACGGGGATAAACCCAAAAAGAGGAGGACGATAGGTCCTTTTGGGACATGGTGGATAGTGTGATACAGAGCAAGGTGTCACAGGTGCACTCGGACGCGGGACGGACGTCAACCCCTGAGAGATATTACGAATTCAGTGGGTTGACTGGAAGTACGGGATGTTCTCTCGTCGCTTTATTTATTTTTCAACTTGGTTGTTATCTTCGCCTACTATCATGGTTGTGGTCCCGCCTGTATGTAGGATTTCGCATAGTCATATACCACCACTTAAGACTTAAAATTTTGAGATAATGTTCAAGGGGTTATTTGTCCGATGATATTCATGGCACGTCAAAGCGCCAATGCATGTAGATTCAAGAGCTATCGACACCACCCAAGTGTTCCATGTACTATCGATCATGCCACTTTGATTGGACTGAGTAATGACTTCGCATTTGCTCGTTCACGGCGCTGACACCTCGTTCGTCTAAATCTCGCAAGTGTGTGTCTTTCTCATCCTCTTTGTTTTCTCAGTGGGTTCCGGTGGTTTATCAACTGGACACACCACTATCCAATCTCGCCTTCTAGACTTGTGCCATATTTCACAGTAGATCATTGAGCATGAAAATGCTGAAAACCCCAACAACGCATCACAATGATCCAATGAGTGCATACACGACTCGCCTCACAAGACGAGTTGTGCAAATACCTATTAGGATCATCTGATGGTTCAGGGTAGGCCGGGAAAATATTGTCACGTGATGAGACAACAGCTCTGGAGCTTGTCGCGATGCCTGTCGCGTTAGAAAAGTTCCTAGCTTAGCATCATAACGAACAGCCCAAACAAAGAAATTCAGCAAATAGCAGTATACTCTCACGATCGCCCTACATCTCCCAAAACAAATCAAGCTGCACAGTTTTACCCCTTGAAATATTGCCGCCATCTTCTACAGGGCTTAATTGCCCGACTTTATTTTCCAATATGGGCCCTATTTCAGTCCCTCGAATCCGTCGCACGGCGCAAAACACCCAGTTCACGTAAGTTCACCTCCTCGTACCCAGTCCGCTAGATTGAACAGGATCTGATTGTTCCAGGTACAATCTTTCGCGCCGCGTGAACGATGTCCAGACGTATCCTGTATACTCTCCCCAAGGTGCTACTATTCTCATCTATGGTCATGAGAATGGTGTGACGATTGCATGGCGAGGAGGCAAGCGATTCAAGACAGTCAAGAAGGCACCCCAACCCGAAAAGCAGAACGGAACTGCGGATGATTCGGTTATGATTATCGATTCGGACGACGATGAACCACCGGCAAAGTCAAAGGCAGCATCTCAGTATGAGGATAAACCACAGTTTGAGGACGAGGTTGAGGATAGCCCATACCCCGAAATAGTACAGACTCTTGACCTTGCGCTCGGAACGGCGATCCTGAAGGTCGCGGTTATGCCCATGACCCCAACGCCCGCAGAGGACGCTGCTTGGGGAGGAGCCAAAGTGCTCACCGACAAGATGGTTTTTGCTGTCTCATGTGTCACCAACGATGTCTATGTCATTACGCTTCCTCTCACCCCTCCTTCGCCAGAGAGTAAGGCGAGACTCGAGCTTAGGAATGATCTTCTAGCAGGCAGGGCAGGCTCCGGAGCTTGGGGTGAGTCGCTCATCCTACTTGGTGGCCAGAACAAGCACAGCGAGGGCATTGCTATCAACTTGATTATGCCAACAACTACCGAGCGACCTGGTACGAAGCCTAGAGCAGTCGTGGCCTCGCACTCCCGTGAGGCTTCTGGAGTGCTCCGACTTTGGGACGTCCCTCTAGATGCTAGTGACAAGCCCTCCAAAACTGTCGAGCCATTCCAAACCGAGTATCTACCTAACCCCCTCACAAGCATATCCTTCAACCCCACGCATACTACACAGCTGCTAGCTGTTTCAGCCCTTCAGGGCGTTCGTGTTTACGATTTTGCAAGACCTGCTTTTACCGACACGGATGCCACCGGGCCCTTTCCAGTCCAGGGCTCATGGTTGCTGTCCATGTACCAGCCCTTTGCTCGACCTTCATCGACAAGAAAACCAGTTATTGATGCTGTTTGGATAACACACGGACGCGCGATACTGGTGCTCCTTGCCGATGGAATGTGGGGCATTTGGGACGTTGACGGTGTTAGTCCTTCTGGACCGGGTGCTATTCTATCTAGCAAACTCCAGACTGGCGTCAAGGGAGCTGCTTTGACCACCTTTAGCGTCTCTGGATATGTAGAGGGAACAAGCTCACTCCGAAGTCTTACGACACAGAACAAGGAGCAGACCACCGGAGAGTTTGCGCCCATGACTCCTCACACTCGACGACAAGCTACCGCTTCGCTAAGCTCTGCCATCACACTTGACCGCTTGGCTACTATCCGAGGTGGCATCAAGGTGCTGTCTTTGCCGAGTAGTGGAAGTGCAATCCAAGACGAGACAGTCGTCTTTTGGGTCGGTGATCTGGAACACGTTTGTGCCATCCCTGGTATAACACGGTTCTGGGATTCTCAACTGCGACAGTCTACTGGCACTGGTGGCGACATATTTAGTGGCTCGCAGCCGGTGAAGATGATCAAGCTACTGGATTTATCAACTGGGTTACTTGGTGAGAGATGCTGCGGAGTTGGTCTGTTGATAGACCCAGACCACAGTATCACCACCCAAGACAGCAGCATACCAGCGGATGTTATTGTGTATGGCGAGACCAGGATTGTCCTTGTCAAGGAGGGAGAAGATGGACCAGGCAAGATTGTTGGTGCCGTGGCCAACGCACGAAGCCGAAACCTGTTTTCCAAGGGAGACAAGTCTGATGCTATTATTGTGCATGGCAAACAAACAAGACCTGCCAAGAACTTATTCAACCTAAGCACCGTGAAGCCGGGTACATTGCGGCTTCGATCTGCCTTGGGCAAACATGGTATTGAGGGCGAATCAGACGCTGATCTGCCACCCCGACCAGCGGTCGGTTTCGACTTTATGGATACGCTTAACGCAGCAGCGGATGTCACAGTTGATGATGACGAACGAAACTTGGAAGTTGAGATGCTGGATATCATGGAGATTGACAAAACACTCGAGAACATGGACAATAGCCGAAGAAGGACATAGGACTGTTGGTTGTAAACGAAAACCGAGGAACTGACTAAAGCGATTAGATGCTAGGAACGAGATAATGAAGAGTGCTGGGGACGAGACGATACCCCTACGACATACATGCGATCCATTTGCATGGTCACGATTGCGATCGTGAGATTCTGACTCCTTTTCCTGCCCAACTTTTCCAATCATCAATGTGACATGATCCGCACGGCAAGGTGGAGCGCAAGGCGAGAATCATCCTTGACTGCTCTGTATTCCGAGCGGTATATCAAAGAATGCTAGCACTCCGTGTGCTTGTTCGACGCCTCAGTGGTGGGTTGGGAAGAGGTTTCGGTGCTCCGAGCACCCTTCCGGCTCTTTAGGGTGCGTCCTGTTATCTACTGACTAATGGATTCTCTGGAATTTTTGAGGTTTGCCTCGAGGATAACGGTGGTCAAGAGGTTGGTGGGGGACGTAGTGACCTGGGCTGGGAGCTTGAACGTCGATACATTTATCTTGATCTTATGTAGTTGTCCACTGTGACATGCCTAAGTAGTCTCTCGCCCTTGAATTCTCATGTTGGCAGAAAATGCGCAATCCTCCTACTTGACAACGTGTAAATGGGATGTTTAGTTTGAATATGAACCTAATTTGAATCATTTACAGACGTGCTACATTGTCTTCATCCGTCGTTGAATAATATATGTAGTGTCGTTATTTCATCGTATGGCTCGTTCATCAACTCCAGGCAGTCACGGTGTGGGGTCAATTAAGACCCCTACGGTTTCCGGCGCGACAGACGCGTCATGACGTCCACACGCGTTAAGTACTTTCCTTTTTCTTTCTCTTGTGCACTTCCATCTCTTCTTCCCCATTGCTCAGCTTCCCTTTCCCCCCTTCGTTACCAAAATTCTTATATCACTTTTTATTTCGTCCTCGACAAACATAAAGGGTTTTGAAACAAAAAAAAAAAACTCCCCCGCAAAGATGGGTATTAAACAACTCTTCCAGATTATCAAGGAGGAAGCTCCAGATGCGATCAAGGAGAGTGAGATCAAGAACCAGTTTGGTCGCAAGGTTGCCATTGTAAGTTCAAAATTGATGAGAACCAGCGCAAATAACACAAGCTTACAGTGCCCCAGGATGCCTCAATGAGTATCTACAGTTTTCTCATCGCCGTACGATCCGAAGGTCAGCAGCTCACAAATGAGAGTGGCGAGACGACGTCGCACCTCATGGGCATGTTTTACCGTACTCTCCGCATGGTTGATAACGGTATCAAGCCCCTGTACGTTTTCGATGGTGCACCGCCCAAGCTCAAGTCTGGCGAGTTGGCCAAGCGTTTTCAGCGCAAACAAGAGGCTACCGAAGGCTTGGAGGAGGCCAAGGAGACGGGTACAGCAGAAGATATTGAGAAGTTCTCACGACGAACTGTT